TTCCTCGTGGTTCTTCCTCATTTCTTCTTGGTTATTGTCAAATTTCTCTTCCATTCTTTTTAGCCATCCTATGATCATTATTCTGAATTCTTGCTCTGGTAGGCTGGTTGCCTCTGACTCTACTTCCTTTTCTGGTGATGCCTGCTTTTCTTTTATGTGCAGACTATGTTTTTGTCTCCCCATGGCCTCTCTTTTCAGGGTGTCTGGTTATGTGGTGTTCCTTCTCCTGCGTTGATTTAAAGGTACAATATACAACACTACCAGGTACAACACAAGAGGCACTTAACAGGAATGTATTTACAATATTAATAACCTCAAATAAAGGTGACCACTAGAGAAAGGCAACTTAGGGGTTAGGGGAGAAGGAAGAAAGGTAAAAATAAAATAAAGAAAATTTTTTATAAAATTAAAATTTAAAAAAAAATTAAGAAAATAAAATAAAAAAAAGAAGGATAAAGAGATAGAAAGAGAAGGAAAAAAGTAATGACAAAATAAAGTTGGAAAACAGGGAAAAAAAGAAAGGAGAGAGAGAGAGAGAGAGAGAGAGAGAGAGAGAGAGAGAGAGAGAGAAAGAAAGGGAGAGAAGAAGCAAACTAAAAGAGAAATGGGAAACAAACTATATATATGTGGAGAAAATTGCCATAGAACAACTACTGAACCCAGCCAATGCCAGTAACAATACTTGGAGATTAATACAAACTACAATATCCACTATTATTAAGTAAGGCTATGATATACAGAAGTAATAGAAACAAATAAAAACAGAGGATTTAAAAAAAAATACAATGCAACAATAACAACACAGGAATAAGCATAACCATTTCACTAAAAAGCATAAAAATTCACAATAATCAACCCTCACACAAACAATGCGCAAAGGATAGAGGGGAGAACAGTTTGTTTTTTTTTTTTTTTTAACTAGTTAATATAGTACAGAAATTGGTATTTATACACTTGGATCAGGGGTTGGAACTTAGGTCTATACGTATAGTGAGAGCTTTAGCAAGGGGTATACAGAAAGAATAGAGGAAAATCTAGAGCCGGAAAGGGATAGGATAAACCGTCAACTAAAAGGGTAAAGTTTAGTAAGAGAGTGATGGTGTAAAGGTCAAGTTGAGATAGGGTTGAATGATGCTATAGTAGTGATTAAAATAGAATGGAGGTTATTCCCAATGTAAAATACAGAAAAAAAAAAAATGGTACTGGAGAGGAAACAAACAGACAAACAAACAAACAAACAAGAAAAAACAAAGAACAAAAAAAAAAAAAAAAAGGAAAGAAACAAAAATTGCAAAATAGCAGTAGTAATAGTGATGATAGAGATTGAAAAATGTAATAATTGAAAAGGTAAAATGAAGTAAGGAAAAAAATAGAAAAAAATTTTCTTAAGTAAATGCTATAAAAAGTGAAAATTAAAGATGTAAAAAATGAAAATAAAATAAAGAATAGTAAAATTAGCATAAAAATGTCCAGTAGTGGTCATTCACTTCCTCTGTTAATGTATTTGGCCCTCCTGATTCTCGGACCAGACAGTCTTGCAGTCCCCAGCATTCCACTGCACCTCAGTTTTGTAAGGTAAATCTTAATTTTAAGCAGGTTATATCTTAGTTATTTGTGTCCGTTTATTTTTGATTAATTAAAAGAAAAAAGAAAGAAAAAGAAAAAGAAAAAAGAAGAGGAAAAAAAAAAAAAAAAAAAAAAAAGGGCAGTTTGTAATTCGGCTCTTAGGTGTCAGTGTTTCCGGTTTGACCTCCCAGTCTTTTTGGTTGCTCTGGCCTTCTTTCTCTATGGCTCTAGCTGGCTCCAGGACTATGTCTTCTGGCTCCAATCCCTTGTTTCCAGAAGGCAAATTCCCCCTACAATTTCCTCGGCTATGCCCAACTGGGCAGTTCTTCTCTAGTATTCAGAAGCAAGGGGATGAATGGGAACCGGTGCCAACGTGTCCAGATGTTCCGCCCTTGGCGGGACAGCCGCGATTCTTAACACTCTGTCCCGTGTCCCCTGGCGTTTTAAAAAAAAAGCCCCTCTTCTGGGGGGGATTACTTCAAACCCAGCACTAGGTGTCGCTGCAGCCTTCTCTGGGCTCCGCTCCGCCTCCGCGGGCGGTAGTTTGCGCACCCGGCTACCGTGGAGGCAGGGCTGGAGCTCCCCGGCTACCGTAGCAGAGGCGGGGCCGGAGTTCCCCGGCTGCCGTAGTGGAGGCGGGGCCGGAGCTCGCCGCCGCGGAACCCAGATCCCTTAGGCTATCCCCGCAAACTCTGACCTTTCCGTGGGTGACTGAAGATCTCCCCGGAATCCACGTGTCTGCGCAGCTCTGGGAGTCTCAGCTGCTCGATGGACCTCCGGGCTGTGCGTTTTCCACGCCTCAGAGAAGCTCTTTCCTTCCTGGCAAGACAATGCAGCCCTTCCTCCACGCCCGCAGCCCACCGCTCGCTGCCTCCGCCGCTGCGGCCGCGGCCGTCCTGGCCGCTTGGTCAGGAAATCCTGTCCAGCGGACCCTCCCTTACCCTCCTTGAGAGCTCCGCTGTCCCTTAGCTGCCAATCAACTCTCCCTGAGTGACTCAGAAGCCCCCTTTATCCGTTCTGGGACCAGAGTCAGAACAGGTCCGACTGTTCGGTCGCCATCTTCAAGCTCCGCCCTTTTTTCCTTTTTGTGTGTGTGAAAGTTTCGAGCATATGCAGTAGACAAACCAGTAAAATAAGTCTCACTGCCCCACCTCCCAGCTTCCACAAGTATCTACACACGTCAGTCTTACTTCCTCCACACTCCCACACAATACCCTTTTTATTTTAAAGAATTCCAAACATCGTGTCATTTCACCCATAAACACTTCAGTATATTTCTCCAAACAATAAAACTTCTCAATTTTTAAACATAACATACCTTTATTGCATTTTAAAATGTTATAATAAATTCCTTAATATTATCAAATAGCCAGTTCAATTTCTCAGTCTCCTAAGTTTTTCCTTATAGTATAATTGTTTAAATCAGTATCAAAGCATGAACTATATAGTCAGTGAATATATTTATATTGTTGTTGTTAATCCTCATCAGAGAATATTTTTCCACTGATTTTTAGGGAGAGTAGAAGAGAGAGGGAAAGAGAGAGTGAAACATTGGTGTGAGAGAAATGCATCAATTGATTGCCTCCTGCATGAGCCCTAATCAAGGCTCAGGACTGGGAGGAGCCTGCAACCAAGCTCTTGTGCCCTTGACCGGAATCGAACCTGGGACCCTTTGGTCTACAGGCCGATGCTCTATACATTGAGCAAACCAGCTAGGGCTGAATATATTTTAAATTTCTTCTCTTGTTTCCCCACAACTCAACTCCTATTTCTAGTTTATTCAGTACTAATAATATCACTGTTACATGAAAAATATTAAAACAGAGACATCTAAGATTTTAAAGACTGAAATAAATAAATAACCCCATATCACTGTGGCAGTGACTATTTTACAAATTAAAAAGAAAAATAACTTGGAAAATGATTTACTTAAAACTGTAGTAAATTTTTTTTAAGATCACTATATGAACATGGAAAAGACACCCCCTTTGCTTGACTACAGAGAAAAAAAAAAAATGCCCTAAAAACAAATAGTAACTTTTGTTTTATGGAGTAGTTACAAAGGGAAAAATGAAATTGCAATAAAGACAATGAAGAGAAAAAAAAAAAAACAGAGACATCTAAGGAAGGGTGAAAAAGAGAAGTTAAAATATTTTAAAACTGAACTTTTAAAAACTCTTGTACATGCTTGTTCTCCAAGTGAAAGGAGAGAAACGGTATTCTTACTACTTTTTCTGGTTCAGACAAACCCGAACTTCCCCAGACTTCCATGGGCATGCTGGGAGGGACGGGGCAAGGACAAGGGACTCTTGCTTTGCCAATCACAGCATTCTCCTGCAAAGGCAGACTCGCATGCAAAGCAGTTTCGATTCCACAGTGGAGTGAGGTGGTATCTCTCCTTTTTCCAGAACTTGATATCAGCTAGTAATTGCTTTAGAAAGTGATGTAATAGATACAATTACATGAAAAGCACCCCATGAAGAAAATCCTAATGAACTGGAACAGTATTTGCATCATATCCAAAGACTGACAAGATGATACCTTAATTCAAAGAAATGAAACGCCTCTGCTAGCATTATACTCTGTCCCTAAAAAGCAGGCAGATCCCACTTGCTTCTGAGCAGCAAGTCATCCTGCTCCCCTGCATACAGTCAGGTTTCTCCTATAGGAGCTAGTTCTGGGATGCACAAGGCACTGGGTCAAAGTGCATAAAAGCCCTAAAGTTGCAGAGCTCCCGGACTGAGCAACCTTAAAGGCCAGGTTCTCTTCCTTCCAATTGGCATACAGCTCACCAACAAAACCCTGTGGTCCTTCCTGAGACCCTAACAGGCTGAGTGCATGAAAAATCAATCTCATCCTTTTTGTAAAATACAGGAACTTTCCTTCGAAAGATGATCTGCCAGGCCCAGATCTATTTTACTTTTTCTTTTCCAGTCTATTAATTCTCTCTCACCGGAATCCCTGGTACTCGATGAAGAATTTCCTCTCACACTGCTAACCCAACAAAGGGAAGGAGTCCCTGCTGGGGTCCAGAGGTACCACACCTCAACCTCCATCTCTGCTGCCAGACGCCCAGGCTGGCAGGAGCTGGGAAACTGGATTAGAGGGGCGGCCCCAGGACTCAGAGCCAAAGGGAAGGGTGATTTTCACCGGGAAATCACCTCCTAAAATCATCACCACTTCTACTCGTTATATAAAACAGGATGTGAGACTCGTTCAGGAAATTATTTCTCAAGCGTTTGCTTCTGCCTTTTCAGCCACTTGGGAGGACTGAAGGCAAAGACCCAATAGAACGAGGCTATCATTTCACTGGAGCCAGGGATCATCTCTGAAGCTACATTGAATCCCTAATCCTAGGACTGGAAGGGGCGTGGCGAACACAGTGAGTACTCCTTTCATCAGAGAATACTACTCCTTTCCCCAGGGGTGCTTACCTCAACAAGAACCTTAGAAAGCACACAGCAATGATGACCGCTAGACCAACAAGGAGCGCAATATACACAGCTATAAAAATAACAGAAAGCATGTTATCACCAAAAACATCATCATAAGAACCAAAGTTGTCACATTATTACACTTTATCTGTAAATGAAAAAAATGCAAAAAAAAATAAAAATCACAACAAATGAAGGAAAAGCCTATATCGATATGCTGAATTTCCTAGACAACTGAGAACACTTCCTAAGGGGAGTGCTAATTTTCATCATGAAAAATACAAAATTACACAAAAATATGGAAAACTGTACAATAAACCCACGCACACCCATCACTTAAATTCTATTATTATCAAAATATTATCACTCTTGCCGAAACCGGTTTGGCTCAGTGGATAGAGCATCGGCCTGCGGACTGGGTTCGATTCCAGTGAAGGGCGTGTACATTGGTTGCGGGCACATCCCCGGTGAGGGGTGTGCAGGAGGCAGCTGGTTGATGATTCTCTCTCATCGATGTTTCTAGCTCTCTATCTCTCTCCCTTCCTCTCTGTAAAAAATCAATAAAAATAAAAATATATATATTATCACTTTCTCTTTACCTATTACCACTCTCCCCTCTGCTATTACCACTCCCCCCTCTACATGGCCTAAAGTGTTTTAAAGCAAATCCTAGACACCCACCACACCCCTGCATCTCCAGTTCTATCTCTAAAGCAACAGTCTCGTAAAAGATGTGTCAGCATCCTGCAGCTCCTGACATGATCCATTGAGAAGGGCACGCCACTCCCGCAATAATCTACCGGAAATGCACGGCCTCTACCTCATCCTGAGAGAACAGCAAATAAGCCCAAATAACAAAGTGGCCAGTCTTCTTCAAAAGTGTCAAGGTCGCCCTGACTGGTTTGGCTCAGTGGATGGAGTGTCAGCCTGCAGACTGAAGGGTCCCAGTTTCAATTCCGGTCAGGGGCATGTACCTTGGTTGCGGGCACATCCCCAGTAGGAAGTGTGTAGGAGGCAGTTGAATTGATGTTTCTCTCTCATCGATGTTTATAACTCTCTATCCCTCTCTCTCTCCATTCCTCTCTGTAAAAAATCAATAAAATATATATATTTTTTAAAGTGTCAAGGTCATGAAAGGCAAAGACCTGTCCTAGATTACAGGAGGAGCCCACATTCAAATACAAAATTAGAAGGAACAACAGGAGAAAAAGCCGAAACCGGTTTGGCTCAATGGATGGAGCGTCGGCCTGCAGATTGCAAGGTCCTGGGTTCAATTCCAGTCAAGGGCATGTATCCTGGTTGTGGGCACATCCCCAGGGGGGGATGTGCAGGAGGCAGCTGATGGATGTTTCTCTCTCATTGATGTTTCTAACTCTATCCCTCTCTCTCTTCCTCTCTGTAAAAAAAATAAATATATTTAAAAAAATAAAATAAAATAAAAAAACAGGAGAAAAAGGAAAAGGATGTAGATGAGAAGGCAGTACCGTACCAATGTGAAGTTCCTGATTTCAGTAATCATACATGGGATCTTTGTACTATGATGATATACCTTAGGGATTTAGGAAAAACTGGATAAAGGTATATGGGAACTTTTTTTTGCACTGTTTCTAGAAGTCTAAAACTATTTCAGCATTCAAAGTTTCTTCAAAATGGACCTTTTGTGATATAACCACACTGTCATACACAATTAGCAATCATTCCCTAGCACTGGTTTTTGTAGTAAGTTCAAGTCAGGATCCAAACAAGGTTCACATCTTGCATTGGCTTGTGTTGTCTCTCTCTCTTTTTAAAATATATTTTATTGATTTTTTACAGAGAGGAAGGGAGACGGATAGATAGCTAGAAACATCGATGAGAGAGAAACATTGATTCAGCTGCCTCCTGCACAACCCCCACCGGGGATGTGCCCGCAACCAATGTACATGCCCTTGACCGAAATCAAACCTGGGACCCTTCAGTCCACAGACCGACGCTCTATCCACTGAGCCAAACCAGTTTCGGCTTGTGTTGTCTCTTAAGTCTCGTTTCCTCATAGGCAGCCATTTACTTGATTCTAACACTAGGTCTCTGTCTCATGTCCTAAACCTGTCAGTACACTTCCTCGTGGTGCCACCAAACGTGTTCTAGCCTCCAAATGTTCTGTACCCGGGAGAGCAGCTGTAAAGGCTTGACTGAAAAGCTCACCGTTTTGGGGAAGAATGCTTCACAGAAGGAATTTTTCCCACTGTACTCAGAGCACCTGAGACTGACCCTGTGCCGACGCTGTGTTCAGCCTGTGAGCCTGACCCCTCCTCTGGTTAAGTTCCCGTTCCATTGGATGGTATCACCCACTCATGATTTTTTGCCCAAAGCAATTACTTCCTTAGGGATTGCGACATATTCTGCCATCCTGCCCTACAGTAACTGGGACTCTTCTCTATAAAGAATCTACCCTCATCATCTAGGAGTATTTAATTATCCTCAAATACAGCTGAAACAGGAAAAACAGGATACAGACTTCAATCTTTCCTTTCAACTGACAATTTTAGTTAGCTTCAGGTGTTCCATAACCTCAAAAGCAACCCAAGTGTTTTTGTTTGGGGAGAGGGGCCTTGATCTTTTGAGTTTCACAGTGAGCTCATTGGGTTTTGTATATTCAATGTGTTTCCATTGATTACTCTCATTATTCTTTTTAATACTTAAATTGTCCTACGTTGGCCCTTGCATACCGGCTCTTCCATCCTCTGACATGATCCATAGGCTTCAACAGCTTCCCTGTGAACATCACTTACTAATGCCCTAAGACAGTGGTCAGCAAACTGCGAGCCGTGGTTTGCCGCTCTGTTGGCTAATGAGTTTGCCAACCACTGCCTTAGGGAAAAACACTTAAAAAACATTTTAATAATGTACAAATGTCTTTAACCTGAAGTCAAAACTTCTGGGTAAGGATAATGCCATAGAGCAGTGGTTGGCAAACTCATTAGTCAACAGAGAGGCAAACCACGGCTCTTGAGCCGAGATTTGCCAACCACTGCCCTAGAACTTCCTATATTATCTAGTGGAAGGCTCAGAGTAACATATTCTTCAGTGGAGTTATTACAGAATGAAAGCCCCATCCTAACCTAAGGGACCTCTGGACTCTCAATGTAAGACACACACAAGGAAAGATATTTGACAGTCGATTGCTCTACTTCTAGTTTCTTTCCAGTACATTAACCTTTTTGTCTTTATTTATGATTCATAATTAAACAACTAGGAGGCTATGTTGATATACCATGTAATTTTTTTATATATCACATAATCTTCTTGGTACTTTACCAATGACACAATAAGTACATTTTAAATATACCATAACTATGAGAGAGATAATTAATAACCCAGGTTTTAAACTGCAAAGTACTGCAAACAGTATTCAAAAACTAAAACGCTTGAAAATACAAATTTTTAAAAAAATCAACAGAGTGTATACATACGAAGGTTGCTGTCGACTGGATTCTTATTAACGACTAATTCACAAGCAGTTTCATTGACTCCATTATGCACAGGCTTGACCAAGAGAGAATAGTTTCCAAATTCACCAAATTTGTACGTCAGCCTATAAAGATTAGATAAAATTAAGAAAAACTATTAGATCAAGAGAAAGAGCTGGATTTGGAGTAATGAAAGCAGAATGACAGGCATTTCTGGGTGCAGACCAGGAAAGACAAAGGAAAATATTTTGAAAGAAGAAAAAGCTAAAAGCCAAGTAAGAAGAAAGCAGAGAGAAAACAGACTTCAGGAGATCACAGCAAAGCGGGTACAAACCTACAAACTTCTCTCTCGTCCAGAGTGTCGTTGAGTTGCAGGATGGATGAGTGCTGGGTGCTCACAGCCACGGGGGCCACGCTGGGCTTCCCGGGTTTTCCAGGCCCAGAAACACTGCCCAGGACCTGGGGCAAGCACTACAAAACAAAAGCATGAGCACACTGTCAAGGTGCTGGCCAGTCTGCTGCTTGTTGGAGGACATGGACATGTCCTGAGATGACTTTCTTTCATACTCAGGAAAAAATGGTTCAATTTCAGTAATTTAGATAAAATCTGCCCATGTAACTATGTGTTGTTATGGAATTATACAACCTTTATTCATAAGTAGATCTCTCACATAATTAACAAATATAAAGTGTACATTACATCTTGCATTCTGGTGTTTTATTATTTAGCAAATCAATTTCCATGGTTCTACACAATTTGCATATTTATAACTTTTAATGATTGTATTATATGTCATCAAATATTACAATTTTGCATTTTTAGGCTGCTTTCAAAGCTTGTTTTATCTCTTCATATGTAATTTATATAAATTATGCTGTAAAAATAAATAAATAATTTAAGTATATTATATATATTTACAATTTATTTAAGTTATACTGTTTTAAAAGATCTACACATGGTACTCTTATTCACTTAAATTCTTTCCCTAAAATAAACCTCAAAAAAAAATAAATTACTAGGTAAAAAATAATAATTTTAATGGTTTTTGTTATATGTGCCAAATAGTACTCAAGAAAAATTACAATATATTTAACAGTTTGTTTTTTTAACATATTTTATTGATTTTTTTACAGAGAGGAAGGGAGAGGGATAGAGTTCTAGAAACATCGATGAGAGAGAAACATCGATCAGCTGCCTCTTTACACACCTTACCAGGGATGTGCCCGAAACCAAGGTACAAGCCCTTGACCAGAACTGAACCTGGGACCCTTCAGTCCACAGGCCAACGCTCTAACTACTGCGCCAAACCGGTTAGGGTAAAATTACAATATATTTATTTTTTACTAGTCTTCCCAGGATTTAAAAATCATTCTTCTTTTTGTTCATATACTAGGTACTTATGATATCACAACATTAAGATTGCATTTTTAAATTATCAGTAGACTAAGTGATTCAATATTCTTTTGCAATCTTGAGTTCTATGGTGTAAGTCATCTTTTAAACACCAAATTCCCTTGAACATACAGTAGAAATGTCCTCCTCATATACTGTAATATTAAACTTTTAACTATCAGCTATTTCCCCACTCTAAGGCTTTCCTTTTCATCATATTATATCCTCGTTTTTAATTACAAGTGTTTCAAGTTTATTCAGTCGTGCTAATCTGTCTTGTCATTTCTTCTGTTGCTTCATTAGTTTAAAAATGTACTCTTCCTGTTTTAGTATTTTTTTAAGTTGTGGAGGTTTTTTAAAATTTGAATCTACTTGGGGCATTTGATAGATGGTATACAATAATTCTACATGCCTTTCCCCCAGGTTTTAGTTGTAATATGTTATATTCTTATGTAAATTAGCTTTTGCTTCTTATACTTACTTTGGTCCTGGTCTTCACTTTATTTATATATATAATATTATATATATCTACATATACATATATATATGTGTGTGTGTGTGTGTGTGTGTGTGTGTGTGTGTGTGTGTGTTTATTGATTTCTGAGAGGAAGGGAGAGAGATAGAAACTTCAATGATGATAGAAACTATTGATCATCTGCCTCCTGCTCGTCCCCCACTGGGGATCGAGCCCACAACTTGGACATGTGCCCTGATTAGGAATCGAAGTGTGATCTCCTGGTTCACAGGTCAATGTCCAACCACTGAGCAACACCAGCTGGGCTTCACTTCTTTTTCGACTACCTAACCAGCTGTATCTTCACAACTGTTTGACCTGGTCTTCATGATGCCCATTCACCTTTTGGGCTGATCTTTGATTCTCTTGCTCACTTACTTTTTCATATAATTTTTGAAATTATTTATGCAGATTCTATAAAGTGTCCATTTATATACCAATAACAATTGTGTTAAATGTATAAATTTGGAAAGTGCTGCCACTTTCCCTATGTTTAGTCTTCATATCAGAGTGCATTGGCTATTGCTCCATTTAACGTCTATTTTTTTCATTAAAATTTCATCATTTTCTTTTCATATGAGCTCTAAAGATTCCTCAAGGATAAAAATGTCAAAATAAATAAATATTTAAATATGCTAACTTATGCCCTAGTCGTTTTAGCTCAGTGGATAGTGTCGGCCTGTGAACTGAAGGGTCCCAGGTGCGATTCCAGCCAAAGTCACATGCCCAGATTATGGGCTCAGTCCCCAATTGGGGTCATGCAGGAGGCAGCCAATCAATGATTCTCTCATATCATTGATGTTTCTATCTCTCTCTCCCTTCTCCCTTCCTCTCTGAAATCAATAAAGAAATACCTTTTAAAAAATGTTAAATATGCTAATTTATTCTGCATGATAGAATTTCACTTAAGACTTTTAAACCCATATTAATTAGAAAGTTTGGATTGCATTTCTTGTCATTTCCTTGCCGAGTCTGAAGATGAACATCCAAACTATACTGCAGAACAAATCAGATACAAGCCATCATTTTTTGGGAGGTGGTCTATGTAGGTTAATTTATACAGATTAAGAGTTACTTATTATTTGAAAATGTAGAAAATGTTACCTATTTTTAGGTAGAGAAAGTTGCTATAATTTTCCAGATTTCTTAATCAGCTGCTGATCCATTAATGTTCTCAATTTCTTGAATTAATCTTGATATTATTTTTTTGAAGGAAACCAATCAAGTTTTGAATTTCAAATTTATCAGCCTGCAATGCTTCACTGGACCATAATTACTTTAATTACAGTGGTTATATATTCCCAGCTAAAGCCAATTCTTCATCATCATGAGCCTCTCCACTGTGCTCATCACCTGGCCCTGGAAGACACCCAGGTGCCTCACTTCCTTCTCTGGTTACGCATTAGGCAAAGGAGTAAAATAAAGCATGCTCCATCAACTCTGCTCATCACTGAGAAATGGGATTTTTTAAAATATAGGTAATGGAAAAGATAAACAAATGTTGCTCATTGCCAGGCATTCTCCATGATTATATTTCCTCTGATTCTATAGGCTGTTTGTTTCTTTACCTATAAAACTAAAGTTAACATGTGAAGGGCTACAGGTATGAGCATCAAGGACATATCAAATGATCCCCAAAGTCAACAAAACTGTGAGCATGACCACTCTACCTACACGATAGCAGCGTTCAGAATTCCAGTAGACTGTCAAGTTTGTCCCAAGTAGTTCATTTTGGATGAGCAGCAAAGCCTGGTCCATCTTCAGCTCTACATGCTTTTTTCTGTCTAAACCTGGCAAGAATTAGAAAGAAAAAAAAATTTTTTTTTAAATCAAAGAAAAAGAAAAACCAAGCACCTGAAAATGTGTTTGATACAAAGTACACCTGCGTGAATGGTGGCTTCGCAGGAGTGCTGCTCAAATGCCTGCATTCTGGGGGTCTCTGGTCCCTTGCTTTGTATATACACAGATATGCATGTGTATACACACACTCACAGATCCTCTTTCACACAAGGGCCTCCACTACACACGAGACCTCAGTCAACACCAGTCACACCCAGTATGTAAAACAACTGTGTCAGGACCTTCCATTCATCAAGTGCTAAGATGTGACTGAATTTAGGCACTGAATTTAGTCGTTTCCACGTATCTTCTATTTTTATAAGACAATCTCAGGAGGTAGGTATTTTCTCCATTTCATAGCTGAAGAAATTATGGCTCACAAGGATTATATAACTGCGCATGGGCACAGAGTTTTTCTGTGAAATGTTTTGAATTGCTCAATTTGTGTGATTCCAGAGTCCAAACTTTCCTGGACCACGCTAATCAGCTCTGAGTGCAATAGGGGCAGCATAAGACCAGCAGAACCCCAGACCTACGGTCAGGATGAGCAGGTGACCAGGGTTCGTGTGCGTTTTGCACGCCCTTTCACTGAAGTCTGAGAAGCCCTGTTTTATATCACTTTGGTTAGGAATTATGAACGTCCTTCTAGCTTCCACAGCAGATGTGGGTCCGGTGAGGAGAGAGGATAAGCTTCCGTCTGAAAGGCAGAAAGACCCAACTGCTCAGTGTTCCCTGGGCTTAACGCTCCCCACTATCTTAGGTGCTCTTAGGAGCCCACCGAGATATGCACAAGCTAAATTTAAGTTTGCCAAATTTGGGGTGAAACAAAGTGAACTAATACTAGCTAAAGCTACAGTAAAACATTTCATTGAGACCAACTGGACCATTTATATCTATTACTAGAGGCCAGGGGCACGAAATCATACACAAGTGGGGTCTGGCTGGCCCTATGGGATCCGATGGGAGGGATTGGGGGAGCAAGGGAGGTTGGGAGGGCCGATCGGGGTCCTAATCGGACTGGTTGGCTGTCGCAGTGTGTGTCATAGCGACAGGTCGTTCCGGTTGTTCTGTCGTTCCTGTAGCTTGGCTTTTATATATAAATATTACATGAATTAGAAATGAATTGACCCTCTAGCTTCTAGGCAGAGGGAAAACACAGGGAACTAGTAACACACCTAGAAAGGTAATAATCTAGCCTCTTTTATTTAGTAATATGAAAGCTTCCTTCAAGGCTTAAAAAATAACAATAAGTACAAAAGCCCTGGCCCCTACTCCAGACCAATTAAATCAGAATCTGTATCCCAACCAGCAAGGTTTTTAAATTTCCTCCCCAAAACAATAACAAAAACTCCCCAAGTAATTCTAATATGCAGCCAAGATGGAAAACAACAATCAGAGAGACTATAAGTGCAAAGCCAGGGGATTTTGACATCTTTGTAATTTTTGAATCATTTGAACATTTTTTTTAAAAATCAACGAGTCTGTATCCCTCAAACACACAAAGCATGCAGTTCCTAAGCCATCCAATGACACAAATTGAACATCATGTTCAGTTTCAAGAAAAGCTGCCAACTCCTGACACAGCTGACTAGAAATATCAGACTAACACTCAAGGAGCATTATCTGCAAAAGAGCAACTCCAGCTGGCTGGTGTAGCTGCATGGTTTGAGTGATGTCCCATGAACCAAAAAGTCACTGGTTTGATTCCCTGTAGGGTATATACCCCGGATTGCAGGCTCAATCCCCAATAGGGGGCATGCAGGAGGCAGCTGATGAATGTTTCTCTTCCTCTCTCTCTAAAATCACTAAAAACTTATTTTTTTTAAAAAGAGCAACTCCCTCTTCTTCTTCCTGTCTACAATGTCTAAGTGAGGATATAGACCAAATAAAGTCACTTTTCAGTAGCCCTAAGGCACTGGTCAGCAAACTCATTAGTCAGAGCCAAATACCAACAGTACAACGATTGAAATTTCTTTGGAGAGCCGAAAACCGACTTCTGCGCAATGGCCACGAAGTTTCAATCGCACTGTACGTGTGCGCCTGCACATGGTATTTTGTGGAAGAGCCACACTCAAGGGCCAGAGGACTGCATGTGGCTCCTGAGCCGCAGTTTGCTGACCGCTGCCCTAAGGTTATGGTAATTTGTATATCTTTTATTCCACTTCCAAATATTTAACTGCAGGTTCTATCTCTCTCTGCTCAGGAGTATCTTTGCTGGGCATATTTTAAAGGACATAGCCTACATAATTTTTTTTTTCTATTCTGAAGTAAACTTGAATCCTCAAATCATATGAAGATGGAGTTCTTAATAGGAAATTGCCCAGCCCACACCTGGACTCCCGGTGGCACGGAAGTTCTGGCAGTCCTTCACAGCGTGGTGAAGGTTCTGGGGTGGATCACTGAAGAAGACTATGTTCTTGCCCTAGCCAGTTTGCATAATGGTTAGAGCATCAGCCCAGGGACCAAAAGGTCCCAGGCTCGATTCTGGCCGAGGGCATGCACCTGAGAGGAGCAGGCCTGAACCCTAGCCTCTTTCTGGGCACTTGCCGGCAGCAACCGAACGACGTGTCTCTCTCACATCAATGTTTCTCTATCTCTCTCTGCGTCTCTCCCCCCCTTTTCCAGTCTCTCTAAAAACCAGTGGAAAAAACACCCTCCGGTGAGGATTAACAACAACAACAAAAAGAATACTACCGCTCTCCTTCACTGTATACAATTACTATTTGCAAACTACTTTTCTTCCCCTAAAATAGTGATCATTATGAATTGCTGCTAAAAGACAAAGAAAGAGAACTGTCCGGCTCTGTCCCTGGCATTGTGACCACGGATTATGCAACCTCTTGGGCTGTTCCCTCAATTATAAAAGAAGGGGAAGAGGACCAGACTGAGTCCAGGGAGGGGTGGGAGAGGCTGCATACAAACCATAAACAGCTAAGACACTTTTTTCAAAATTTGTCCTGTCGTCGCCCTACAAGACTTTGGGGAGGAGAGGCAGTTTGAACTTCACCCTGACACCCAAACACCCGTGTTCTGATTCAGAAAAAAGGGAGAAGAGGGTTTGCTGTACTTGGCTGATCCCACAATCCCCGACCTAAGTACCATCTGAAGAGGGTCTTGGGGTCCTAGTTCCAGGGGGGCTAGAGAAAGGCCTTGGAATTTGCATTTTCACCATTTGCACTGGCGAGGACCCAGGCTTTAGGGAAGCAGCAGATACGCTGAGAGCCTCTCCTCCCGGCCTCTCACTTCCCAGGCAAAAAAAAATAAAAATACCCGCACAGACTCCTCCAGGCTGTGCACCTCCCTCGGTGACATCCCCACCAACTGAAGGGGACCCGTAAACCACAGCCTCCACTCTTCCTCCGGTCCGCTCCGAGGTAAAAAGCCTCCCGAGGTGAGGCTGGGGGGAGGTTCGCTTGGGATGGGACTTGGGACTTTTGAGGACCACACTCTGCGGTCCCCGCCCTCCGCTCGCTGCTTCCCTGCGCGCTCGCGGGCCGCTGGCGGTTCGCTCCCGGGTGCAATCCCAGCGCCGAGCCGGGCCTTTCGGGGCGCAGCTCGGGGCCGGGGCTGCGGGGCACGGGCGTCCCGCAGCTCCAGCCGTGGCGTGGCGCGGGCCCAGTCCGGCCCCCCGGGGAAGGGGCTGCACTGGAGCGGAAGACCCCCGCACCCCGGCCCAGAGGAGCGATGGCCTTCGGACGCTCCGCCTCGGCCAGCCCCCTCTCACCTGGCTCTGCACCGGAGGTCAGAGGCGCGCACACCAGAGCCGCCGGGTGCCCGCAGCCCCGGGCGGGCGGGCAGGGCGCGGCCCTCGGAGAGGTCGCACCCCGCTCCCGGCCGCTCTCCCCGAGCTCTGGCCCTGGGGCGGGTGCCGGTGGGATGTCCCCCCTCCCCGCTGCTGACCGCGGGGTGCCAGCGCCAGCACCAGCGTGCCAGCGCCAGCCCCCCGGTCCCGACACGCCCGCCGCCGCGTAGGAGAAACAAACATTCTAGTTCCGGAGACCCGCTCTGCTCTGCGGAGCGCCCGCGCGGGCCCGGAGGGGGCGTCGCGTCGCCCAAACGGGAGGGGACCACCGCGCGCCCCGCGGTCCGGGCAGCGGGAGGGGCGCGGGCCGGAGCCTCCGCGCACTCACCTCGCGGGCCGCGCTCCAGGGCGTCGCCGGAGGCCAGCAGCGCGGCGCTCAGCGCGGACGCGGCCAGCAGCAGCGCGGCCAGCGCCCGGCCCGCGGCCCGCGCCCAGCTCATGCCGCCCGCCGCCGCCCGCCGCTCCCGCCGGGGAGCCGCCTCGCCCGCCGCGCTGCCGCCGCCGCCGCCGCGCTCCCGAGCTCTGCGCTTCTTGGCGGCGCGCGGACGCGTGCCCGTCATCGCCTCCCGCCCGAATGCCGTCACCGCCGCCCGAGTCACCGCGGGGGCGGGGCCGGAGGCGGGGCGTGCGGAGCCAGGGGCGGGGCGTGAGAAACCAGGGGCGGGGCATGGTAATGAAGGGGGCGTGGTGTGCGGAGCCGGGGGGCGGGGCTGCGGGGCGGGGGCGGGGCTGCGGAGTTAGGAGCGGGGACGTGTTGAGCGGGGGGCGGTGCTGCGGAGCCGGGGGCGGGGCCTGCCGGTGTGCGAGGGTCCGAGGGGCCGGCCCACGCTGGGCCCTGCGCTCTGGGAAGCTTCCTAAGGAAAGGACCTAAGTGAAGGACCAAGATTCTCTCCAGGTTGCTTGCTGCCTTTTGTTATCGGAGAAACATCCAAAAGAGAGGCCTCCCACAGGCCACAAGCCACTACTCCCGTGTCTGATCACCTCTCTGAGAGGCATTCTGTTCAATTCCTGCGTCTGGTTATTCAACATGCAAATGGGGGTTGGTGTCTTCTGTCCACTGTTCTGGAAATGGCGTGGTAAGTAAGAAGGCAGAGTCCCGGGCCCAAAGCATTCACTATCCGGAGATGAGACTTAAAAGCCATCGTGCACCACTACTTTGAAGAGCTCTTTGGCAATCTCTGATAAAGTTCAAGGCTAGCAGACACCGTGACCCCGCAGTTGCACTCGCAGCTTTATGACTGGAGAAACTACCATCTCTATAAAGGGACATGCGATAACGCTTGTAGCAGAATGCGTTATAATCGCAAAAGCCTGTATATAATCTAAATATTCATCAGTAGAGGAAATTGATGTGATGATATATATATAGCAGTATTGATGATCTAGAGTTACATGTACTGAAATGGGTGAATCTCAAAATAAGGCAGAGGGGAAAATGCAAGTTGCAGAAATGCCTTTGTAATAACTTATATGTCAAGTGTGAAGCCAAGAACAACAATACTATATGTTGATTAAGGATAGTTGCATATATAATAAAAGTGTAAAGACACGTATGGAAAGATAAACAGCTAACATGACACTTAAAAAAACTAAGTGTTTTCCCCTTGGATCAGGAACAAGGCAAGGATAACTGGACTCATCACTTCTACTCAGCATTGTCCTGGGGTCCTGGTCAGTGCAAGAAGGTAAGGAAAAGAAAGGAAAAAAGCATACAAATTGGCTTTATTCAAATATGGCATGAATAAATGCATGTGTGTAAACTTTTAAGGAATCTCCCACACATACCCCAAAACAGAATTTATTTTATTTTAAAATATATATATTTTATTGATTTTTTAAATATATATTTTTATTGATTTTGTACAGAGAGGAAGGGAGAGAGATAGAGAGTTAGAAACATCGATGAGAGAGAGTCATTGATCAGCTGCCTCTTGAACACCCCCTACTGGGGATGTGCCTTGACCAAAATCGAACCTGGGACCTTTCAATCCACAGCCGGACGCTCTATCCACTGAGCCAAACAGGTTTGGCTCAATTATATTTTCATATCAAGATGTAAACAAAATTGGAACTTGACTTTTTAAAAATAGCATTTACAATAGAATTTTTAAAATTAATACATAAATAAATTTAACAAAAAAGGTATAAGACCTGAACGCTAAAAACTACAAAACATGACTGAGAATAATTAAAAACCTAAATAGTTGGAGAGATCTACCATGTTCATAGATTAGAAGAACCATTACTGTTAAAATGCCAGTTTTCCCCAAACTTATCTGTATAGATTGAGTGCAATCCAAATAAAAATCCCAGTAGGTTATTTCTTATGTGTGTGTGTGTGCGTGTGTGTGCGTGTGTGTGTGTGTGTGTGTGTGTGTGTGTGTGTGTATAGAAATTGACAGCTGGTTCTAAAAATTATATAGAAATGTAAAATGACTTTGAAAAAGCACAACAAAATTGTAGGTCTTGCACTATCTGAGTTCAAGATTTACTAGAAAGCTATAGTAATCAAGATAGTGTGCTATGAGCATAAGGTAGCAGTAGAGATCAACAGAACAAGATAGAGCGAGCGTCTCTAAAAGTAAATGCACAGAACTGGATTTTCACCAGGTTACCCAAGAAATTCAATGGGGGAGATAATGGTTTCAATAAATGATGCTAAAACAATCATTTCAATAAATAATGCAACGTGAACTTTAACCCTTACCTCACAGCATACACACAACCGGATGAGAAAGGAAATATGGCCCTCAATGTAAAAGCTAAAACTATAAAGACTTCTGGAAGAAAATAAAGGAGAAAACCTTCCTGGCTTTCTTAAACAGTATATAAACCATTTTATTTATTTGTCTGTTTGTTTGTTTGTTTGTTTGTTTTTGTTAATCTTCACCCAAGGGCATTTTTTCCATAGATTTTTTTAGAGCCGGTGGAAGGGAAAGGGAGAGACGGAGAAAAAGAAACATCGATGTGAGAGAGACACATCAATTGGTTGCCTCCTACTCCTCCTACCCAGGGCCAAGGACTGAGCCTGCAGCCTAGGTGCCTGCCCTTGACCAGAACTGAACCTGGGGCCCTTTGGTCCACTGCCAGACGCTCTGACCACTGAGCCAAATTGGCTAGGCCTAAACCATTTTAAAACACAAACTTAAACACAGTTAAGAAAATGAAAAGGCAAGCCGCTGACAGTGATAAAAAGATTTGCAAAAGATATATCTAGTAACAGACTTAATTCCAGGTTACACAATGAACTCTTACAATTTAATAATAAGCAAATTATTTAAAAATAGGCAGAAGATTTGGACTCTTCACCAAAGATGTGAATGGCCAATAAACATAAAAAATTTATCTTAGGGAAAATGCAAATTAAAACTACAATGGGCCGAAACCAGTTTGGCTCAGTGAATAGAGTGTTAGTCTGCAGACTGAGGGGTTCCGGGTTCAATTCCAGTCAAGGGCATGTATATTGGTTGCGGGCACATCCCCAGTAGGGGGGGTGCAGGAGGCAGCTGATTGATGTTTCTCTCTCACTGATGTTTCTAGCTCTCTATCCCTCTCCCTTCCTCTCTGTAAAAATCAATAAAATATATATATTTTTAAAAATTATAATGAGGAGAATCCAAGATGGCTGCTCGGGTAGGCACCTAGCCGCAGCCGCACGCAACAATTTTAATAAAATACAACTAAAATATAAAATGGACATCACCCAGAACTACAGGAAAGTCGACTGACTGGAAATTCTACAACAAGAAGCAAGGAGATAACCAGAAGGAAGCGCGGAGGAGCTGGAAAAGCCTAAGGTACGGAGACACGCGGCGCGCGGAGAGGACGGAGCCAGAGAGGAGGGAGGCGGAGTGCCTGGTGGGCGTTCTCTAGCGGGAAGGAGATAAACGCTCCGACTGTGCTGGGCCCCGACTGCTCTGAACCCCAGGCCTAGGCCAGACCCCGGGGACCCAGGCTCACACAGAGGGAGCTGGGCTGAAAGGCGGAACCCGGGGAAGAGGCAAAAGGAGGTCCCGGCGGCGCCGCGCAGAGAAGGGACGGCCGGCTGTGCCGCGGGATTGCCTGGCGGGAAGGAGACAGGGGCGCCAGACTGCTCTGAACGCCACCTCCAACTCCACTTCCAACTGAACTGAACCCCAGTTTCGGGCCCATTGGGGGAGAGACTAGACTGTTTGGTAGCAGGCGATCGAGGGCGCCTTTCTCTCAGAGGCGCTTGCAAGGAGTACTGAAGGACCCTGAGTCTCCAGAGTCTCATAGGGCGGGGCTGACGGAAGCCAAAGCTGTAGGCTCCACCCTGAAACCCCGCCCCATCAGGAAAGCTGCCTGCGAAAATGCCTAAACCAAATAGATCACAAACGAAAGAAATGGAGGACAAAAAGCGACTGGATATAGAGTTCAAAACCACACTTATAAGGTTTTTCAAGAGTTTCCTAGAAAAGTCTGATAAAATAAATGAGACTTATGAGGATATGAAAAGGGATCAACAAGAAATAAAGAATACATTGTCTGAAATAAAAACTATTATACAGAGTCCTAAAAACAGAATAGAAGATCGCAAGAATCAAGTCAAAGATTTGGAACATAAAGAGCCAGAAGATACTCCTCTGCAGAAGCTAGAAGGCAAGAGAATCCAGAAAATTGAGAATCAAGTCAAAGATTTGGAACATAAAGAGCCAGAAGATACTCCTCTGCAGAAGCTAGAAGGCAAGAGAATCCAGAAAATTGAAGATGATGTAAGAAACCTCTGGGACAACTTCAAACGATCCAACATCAGAATTATGGGGGTCCCAGAAGATGAGAGAGAGCAAGATATCGAAAACATATTGAAAGAAATAGTGACAGAAAACTTCCCCCACCTGGGGAAAGAATTGGACTTACAAGTCCAGGAAGCACACAGAACTCCAAATAAAAGGAATCCAAAGAGGACCACACCAAGACAAATCATAATTAAGATTCCAAGAGCAAAAGACAAAGAGAAAATATTAAAAGCAGCAAGAGCTAAGCAGGTAGTTACCTATAAAGGAGCACCTATACGATTGTCAGCTGACTTCTCAACAGAAACCATGCAGGCCAGAAGGGAATGGCAAGAAATATTCAAGGTGATGAATAGTAAGAACCTACAGCCAAAGATAATCTATCCAGCAAAGCTATCACTCAGAATCGAAGGTCAGATAAAGAGCTTCACTAATAAAAAAAAGCTAAAGGAGTTCATCACCACCAAACCAGAATTATATGAATTGCTGAAGGGGGTTCTTTCAGAAGAGAAAGTAAATAAAGATAAAAATTATGAACAACAAATACATAACTATCAACAAGTGAATCTAAAAACCAAGGAAATTAAAAAAAAAATCTGAGGAACAATATTAACTGTTGAATATAATAGAATCAGAGGTATGGAAGGAGAGTGAACTGATGATTCTTGGGGAAAAGGGGAGAGGGGGATGTGGGAAGAGACTGAACATAAACTGTGCACCTATGGATGAGGACAATGGGGGGTGGGGAAAGGGCAGAGGGTGGGGTGGGAAGGGGGGGGAAGGGACATTTGTAATAATATGAATAAAAATTAAAAATAAATAAATAAATAAAAATTATAATGAGATGGCACTACACACCCACTAGCATTGCTAAAATTAAATGAGCTGATAATAACAAGTGTAGGCTAAGAGTGTGGAGCAAAGGAACTCTTGAATATTGCTAATGGGAATATAACATGGTACAGATGCTCTGAAAAACAGTTTAGAAGTTTCTTATAAAGTTAAACATATTCTTAAATGTGATCATAGGAATATTCCTAGGTATTTACCCAAGAGAAAAGAACTGTATTTAAATGGTAACAGCAGTTTATTTCATATTAGCCCCAAACTAGAAACAATCCAATGTCCATCAGCAGATGGCTGATGAACATACATATAATGGAATATTACTTACCAATAAAAAATATATAAATTACTGCCCTGACCAGTTTGGCTCAGTGGATAGATCGTCGGCCTGTGGACTGAAGGGTCCCGGGTTCAATTCTGGTCAAGGGCATGTACCTTGGTTGTGGGCACATCCCCAGTGGGGGGTGTGCAGGAGGCAACTGATTGATGTTTCTCTCTAATCAATATTTCTAACTCTCTATCCCTCTCCTTACTTCTCTGTAAAAAATCAATAAAATATATTTTTAAAATAAAAAAGATATAAATTACTGATATAAACAACAACATGGATGGATTTCAAAAACATTGCAATGAATAAAAAAGGTACAAAAATGTCTATACCACACTGTATAATTCCAAGTATGATATTCGGGAAAAAATTCTAATCTTCCTAAAAAGCAAGCAGAGTCATTGCCTGAGGCCAGCAAATGGGAAAAGATTGAAGGGGGTGGGGGGAGACACATGGGAAATTTTATGAGGGAAATTTTTAAAAATATATTTTATTGATTTTTTTACAGAGAGAAAGGGAGAGGGATAGTTAGAAACATCAATGAGAAACATGGATCAGCCGCCTCCTGCACACCCCCCACAGGAGATGTGCCCACAACCAAAGTACATGCCCTTGACCAGAATCGAACCTGGTACCCTTCAGTCCACAGGCCGACGCTCTATCCACTGAGCCAAACCGGTTTTGGCTATGAGGGAAATGTTTTATGTTTTATCTGTAGGGGTGGTGACTCACCCCTCAAAACTCAAAACTCACTACAATGTACACTTAAACTGGTTGCATTTTATTACATACTAGAGGCCCGGTGCACAAAATTTGTGCATGGGGGGGTGGGAATGAGGGGAAAAAAAGCTGGTCCCTCAGCCTGACCTGCACCCTCTTGCAGACTGGGACACTTCAGGGGATGTCTGACTGCCAGGTTAGGCCTGATCCCCCTGGCAGTCAGACATCCCTGTTGCAGTCTGAGGTTCTCGCAGTCCTGGACCCCTCACTCTTTACCTGGCTCCCGCAATCACCACTGCGCTCACCAGCCATAAGCTCGGCTTCTAGACGAACAGTGCGCTCCCCATGTGGGCGCGCACTGATCACCAGACGGCAGCTCCTGCGTTGAGTGTCTGCCCCCCCTGGTGGTCAGTGCGCGTCATAGCGACCAGTCATTCTGGTTGTTTCGCCATAAAGGTTGCTTAGGCTTTGATTATATAGATAAACTAGGTTTGTGCCTTAGACAATTAGATGGATGGTGTTGTGCCACTTACAAACATAAGAAACAAGCAGCAAATCCAGCACAGAGAAGAGTAATTTGGGAAATGTTGAATTTGAGGTATTCTTTGTATGGACCTGTTTTCAGTTCACTTGGGTAAGTACTTGGGAGTGGAATTGCTGGGTCACAGTAACTCTATTTTTAACTTCCTCAGGAGTACCAGACTGGATTCCAAAGTAGCTGCACCATTTTACATTCCCGCCAGCAATATTTGAGGGTTTCAATTCTCCACATCCTCACCAATACTGTCACTGTCCATCCTTTTGATTACAGCCCTCCTAGTGGGTTATGGCAGTTTTTATAACAAAAAGCAGCAGTTGAAACAATACTGTGGGCAAGCACATTCTCTGATCAACCAGAGGGCCCAGTCCACCACAGGCAGTAGATGAGGGGATAAGACTGACACCACGGCCGTGTCAGTGCCTGTGGTGCCCTGTCTGACCGTTAGGGGCAGTGGCTGTCACTGCCCTGGGGACCAGTTAGAAATGCAACGTTTCGGACTCTATCCCAGACCTTCTGAGTCAGAGAGTCTGGGGTCCCTGTGATTCCAGGGAGCCTACCCCTCCATGTCAGCTTTTACCACCTTATTATGGATGATTAATATGCACCAAATCCATCATGCTCTGCAAACGATGACGGTGAACAAGGAAAGAGCTTTTTGAAGATTCAATCGTGCAGCTCAAGTTTCCAGTCATGAGTGACAGTGTCGATGTGAAATGTTCACAATAATTTTGGACAGAGAAAACCCAGCAGGAAGGTGAACACGAATATTACAACTACCATCCAAGGCAGTAACACATGTCATTTCCCTCATACTTGTTGTTATAAATATTCCTTATTCATTAAGAATTTCAGCCCAGCTGGCATGGCTCAGTGGTTGAACATCGACCTATGATCCAGGAGGTCATGGTTCAATTCCTGGTCAGGGCATGTGCCCAGGTTGCAGGCTCGATCCCCAGTGTGGGGCATGCAGGAGGCAGCCAATCAACAATTCACCTATCATTGATGTTTCTCTCTTTCTCCGAAATCAATTCTATATAATAAAAGGCTAATATGCAAATTGCTCCCTTGATGGGCAGTTCGACCAGGAATTTGACCAGGGGACAGGGCCAGCCAGCCAACTGCCCATGGCCCCTTCCCCTAACCCCAGCCCCGATTGGCCCCACTTGGGGCTGGCTGGCAAGACCCCACCCGTGCACAAATGCGTGCACCGGGCCTCTGGTAAAAATATATTAGAAAACAAATATCAAAGAGCATGCCATCCTAGTTCTCCTTAAGCTCCTAGGTAGGAGGATGGCACTGAAGCTTCACAGAGCAATCATTTAAAACAGTAAGGGTGGCCTCACCCATCAAAGGGAAGCAGACCAGGGATACTCACAGGACCTGGTATATTGATTACCATCTAAAAAAAGAGGAAAGAAAATTCTCTGCACAACTACTCTAGGTTTCTATCCTATACCGCCATTTAAAAATCTCCTCTATCTACCTTTCTTACAAGCATACAAACTCAGATCTTAGGACAGGGAAAGGCTCTTTTGCAGCTACGTCTTCCTGTAGTGACTTCCTTCGGATACGGGTCAGATTCACTGCTTTTCTGCCGCTTCTCCTGTGGGCGATCCGTGTCAGACGTGAAGCCAGGCTTAGATCGAGCCGGCTGCTCCGGCTCAGCCATGTCCGCCCCGGTGGCCAGCGGGGGCAGCCGCTCCCACGTGCGCCCGGGCACAGACGAAGAGCCACCGGGCTGCACAGCAGCAAGCTCACGGTCCGAGCAGAACCGCTGTAGCCGTTCCGCTTGCTCCTGTACCCGCAGCCTCCCCTGGCCGGGCTTAAGGCTTCACAGCATTTCTCTGGCCTGAGACGGCACGGCGTCTCTGAGCGAACTCAGGACCTGCTGGTACGTGTCCAGGACGGCCTGCGCGGTGGGCCTCTCGGCCGGCGCCCGGCTCTTGCAGGCCTTGTGGATGTCGAACAGGTGGAATCGGACCATGTCGCTCCCCTCCACGTGCCCCAGGAGGAAGCTGGCGACGTCGGGGATCTTCCAGATGTCGGCCTTCTCGTCGTACGGGGGCATGAGGTCGTCGCGGAAAGGCACGTCCTCCCCAAAGGGCCACCGCTGCTCGGGGGCCACGAAGTCGCCGCGCAGCTCCCGGCGGCCGCACTTGGCCAGCGCCCCGGCGCTGCGGTTCACCGGGGGCAGCGCGTCCAGGTCGTTGACCACGACGCTCAGGTTGCTGGTGAGCAGGTACTGGGACAGCGTCTTGGGCAGGTCGCTGGAGTCGCACATGACCCGCGTGCCCAGCGGGCTGTGGTGCAGGAAGTGGAGGATGCCCACGTAGTCCATGGCCAGCTGCAGCCGCCGCTGCCAGGTGTTCACGGCCTGGTACTTGGAAAGGTTGAGCGTGGCTTCCAGGCTGCCCAGCGACCCCAAGGGGTGGTACTCGGTGAGGATGGTGCTGTCCTCCTCGCAGAAGCCGAGCAGCGTGACGACGTGCTTGCTCTGCAGGGCTTTCAGCATCTGCAGGCCGTGGAGGAAGTCGTCTCTCATCTCCGGGCTGGTGAGCCGTGAGAGGGCGACTTTGCGTTCCTTCCACTCCGAAAGGAAGACCTGAAACAGGGCCGGAGCACATGGCCTGTGTTAGGGAGCCGGGAAACCACGCCACAGATGTCTTTCTTTAAGAATTGGGTGTGGCCGAGCCGGGTCCGGTTTGGCTCAGTGGATAGAGCGTCGGCCTGCGGACTGAAAAGTCCCGGGTTCGATTCTGGACAAGGGCATGTACCTTGGTTGCGGACATATCCCCAGTGGGGGGGTGCGGAAGGCAACTGATTGATGATGATTCTCTCTCATCGGTGTTTCTAACTCTATACCTCTCCTTTCCTCTCTGTAAAAAAACAATAAAATATTTCTTTTTTTTTTTTTAAAGGAAAGAATTGGATGTGGTACAGAGGATATAGAAATTGATGACACATGCCGAGACCGGTTTGGCTCAATGGATAGAGCGTCGGCTTGGGGACTGAAGGATCCCGGGTTCGATTCCGGTCAAGGACATGTACCTTGGTTGCGGGCATATCCCCAGTAGGGGGTGTGCCAGAGGCAGCTGATCGATGACTCTCTCTCATCGATGTTTCTAACTCTCTCTCTCTCTCCCTTCCTCTCTGTACAAAAATCAATAAAATATATTTTTTTAAAAATTGATGACACAGACCTGGCCCCAGGGTTGCTCTTAGTCTAGTTATAAAGACTCACGTATGAACAAACACAAGATACCCAGCGAGGCTAGTGCCATATTAGCGGGAGGATGCAGAAGGATTGACTCTGGTCAGGGTGCTGTGGGGCCATCTGTCTGGAAGAAAGAAATGTGGGGGAGTGCAGAATAGGGAGTGAGGATGTCTGGGTGAGTTTTAGGGGGCAGCAGGGCCCAGAGCAGGGGGTGTGGCAGATCACGGTAGGAGGTTTGTATTCTTCCCGCTGAGGACAACGGGAGGCCACTGAAGGGGTCTTTAAGGAAGAGAACGGCATGACCTGAATTGTGTTTAGGAAATGACTCCGCCTGGTGCATGGTGAAGGGCAAACGCGGAAGCAGGGGTGCCTGTTCCGAGGCAAGAGCTAATGGTGATGTCACTCCAACGGGGCGGGGACAGAGGTCATGGGACAAGGTTGGGACGTGGGTGAGAGGACTCCAGATGACTCCCAGGTTTGGGCTCGAGCAACTAGGTGAGAAGTGATGGCGTTTTCTGCGGTTTTAAGGCTGCGGAAGAACAGGTTTCAGAACAGGGGATTATCAAGTGCCAAACCGGATGTACTTAGATGCTCAAGAGACTTCCACGCCGAAGAGTGGAATAAATAGTTGGCTATACCAATCTGTGGCTCCGGGGAGGGGTGCAGGCTGCAGATATAAACTTGGGAGTCACCAGCATATAAACTGTAGTTAAAGCAATGGAACTAGAGACTAAATCAACTCACCGTGTATCTGAAGAAGACAAACGAAGGGGCCCAGGAAGGAACCAAAAGGAATAAGGCTTCTCAGCCTCAGGACTACTGACATTGGGGGCCAGATACTGTCTGTGGAGGGTGACTAGCAGCATCCCTGGCCTCTACCCATTGGATGCCAGCAGCACCCCCCTGTGCGCCCCATTATGACAACCTCAAACGTATCTCTACTCATTGTATCTCTTCTCATCGCCGGGCGTCCCCAAGTGCTCTCTGACGTGGAGCAGGATGGGGAACAGAAGCAGCAAAGGAGGGTAATCAGGAGTGGCCAGTGTGGGAGGAGGAATGCTAAAAACACATCATAGCGCCAAGAGCCAGGGCTGCAAGCAGAGAGGAGTCAACTGGATTAGGACGGCGAGAAGGAGCGAGAGGAAGACGGAGGAGAGGAAAGCGCGGGCCTCTGTATGAGCGCAGTGGCGCAGTTTGGGAGCCGCAGGGAAGAGGGCGGAAGCTTGAAAGAGAGAAGAGGCAGAAGGGCTGTGGCAGTTTTACTGCAGAGGGAGGGGGCTCAAGAGAAGAGATGTTCTTACTCCAAGTACCCGCTTGTGTGCCAGTAGGAACGAGTCTCAAAGTGGGAAACATGGATGATGCAAGAGATGGAGGGAAAGACTGAAGTGAGGGAAGTTGTGAGAAGTCAGGGACCAACCACGCCTGAGCTGGAGGTTCAAGGACTAGTGGTGGGAAGAAGAGGAGATTCCCTTTGGGTGGATTCTACCTCATAATAACTTAAGTAACAAGATCATCGGCTAAGGCAGGGACTGGGGGTGTTGAGGAAATATCTGTCTCAGAGATCGGGAGGGAAAAGGTACTACAGGCACAGAGCAGTGCACAGCTGAGATTTGTGGCCATGCACTCAACCACACAGCGGTGCTCAAGTGCAGATGGGTAGTGGGTCTGGGGCTCTGCAGCCAGGCATGATGGAGAGACGCCAAGGAGCTGTGGCAAGCGTGTGTGGGAGAGCGATGGGGATGATGGCCACGGGACCTCTGCTGGGGGTAAATCGGGGAGTGCAGGCAGGAGGGCGTCAGTGAAAACATAATAGCAATGGCCTCAATGAGACAGGAATCACTGAAGGGGCACTAGGGAGGAGGTGGGGGGCGGAGAGTGGGACATCAAGAAGTCTGGTTACAGAAATCCCTACTGAGAAACCCATGCCTCCCCCTGTGGGGTGTCAGGGGGGAGGGTGCCCACCCGTGGGCAAAGGAAGGAAGCTCGTTCCTTCAGGGCCTGTTCAAATAAGGGAGGAAGAAGGAAGGACAGACGAGGGAGGAGAGACGGAGCTATGGCAGTTTTACTACAGAGAGAGGGGGAATAAAGGTTCTTATGTCAAGAATGTGTGTGTTTGTGCACCAATAGGAATGATCCTCTGAGTGGGAAAGACTGAAGCCAGGCACCAGCCACACCTGAGCTGGGGGCTCCAGGTCTCCTGGAGGGCAGTGAGCGTCTGCGCTGGGCCAGAGCCTGCACAGGCACTGAGGCTTCGATGGGGCAGGACGAACAGGCTCCGGACCCCACCCCGCTAGCATCGGTGCTCAGGATACCTTTGCCCCGAGAGCAAGTGTTGGCCAAAAGCACACACAAAACATATGTGAACAGCCTCTAGTCACACTAATAAACAAACCACGTTTCTCAGAGCTGGTCCCCACGTCATTAAATAGCATATTTGGATGGGCACGATGTGTAGATTTCCCCAAAATCCAGTCTGTCCTCATACAAAAGTGATCTGCCACCATCAAAGCTACTCAAAAACATACCTTTGAGGTAAAAAGCAATCCCAAAAAAATAAACATTTTTAAATGTTCCAAGGGATTCCAATCATACGACACATGCTAGCGGGAACCTCTTTGGAGGCGACAAATTCACCGCTATGTCCTTTTCTCTCCTTAATCCCTTTGGGGTGCTTTCTTCACATCCGAACGCTCCCAATACCACCCCAGAGGTATAGTCCCCAAACCAGGACCTCCACCTGCTGGACTTGTACATCCAACCAACCGCCTGCCGACGTCTCCGTGTGACATCTAAGCGGCCTGGACATGTCGCCTCACGCACACACCCCGTCTGCTCCTTCCCCTCCTCTCTGTATCGGGTAACGACGACGATCCTATTCATCCTGGTACCCAGGCCAAGCACCTTGCAGTTACCCTTTCCCTCGTACCCCACATGCAATCGACTGCTTCTACCTTTAAAATAGGACTGAGTCCACTTTTCTGACTGTATCCACCGCTAACACCTTGTCAAGCTGTGACCATCGCTCTGCTGCTAGGCCTCGCCCGGCCACCTCCGATTCCAGCCCCCTCTGACTCTGCGTGCCCTCCCTCCTCCTCACCCTGCCCTCCGGCTCCCGGGCTTCTTCCTGCTCCCCAGACAGCCAAGCAGGTTTCTCTCGGAGCCTCTGCTGGTACCCACCTCTCCTACTGGAACATCTTTTCCCCAAACACCCACACAGCTCACTCTCGGACGGTCCCGGCCGCCTGGAGGAGCAAGCCTGTCACCGCCCTGCTCTGTCTTCACAGCGCATCACGGACACGGTTCATCACACAGTTTCTTATTTTCCTGATGGTCCGACGCCCCAACTAGAAAGCAAGCTTCAAGGGTCTTTGTTTCTTTCACTGCCTCACCCCTAACCGCCACAACAATGAATGAATGAACAAATCTCTGAAAGAACCAATCACCTTGTTTTATGGTTTTACTTTGTAGAAATGCCTGTCCCTTTTTCCTGTCTGACTTTTTTTTTTTAATTTCTTTATTGATTAAGGTATCACATGTTTGTCCTTAACCCCCCCCCCCCCAATCCACTAACTGACTTCTTCCTTTACGATGTCTCCTCTCCACACTCATGGGAGCAGCCACCGGCCGGGGTCCCCATCTCCCAAAATAAAGACCAGCACTTTATGGAGCAGCAGCCGCCTCACGCATGTTCTGCTCCCTCCTTCTCTCTCACTAGTCATTCAATGCATCCTCACAAAGGAGCTGTCTTTGTTCAACAGCCCTGAACTGGCTTCTGGAGTCGCTCTTTGTTTTATTAGCAAGCCTCGGTTACCGTGGGAACGATGACCACCAAAATGCAGCACACACGCCTTGCTGATGAGACAAGGGCTCTCGAAGCCTCTGAATTCACCCCTTTGGTTTCTTCATAAAAATTAAAAACTTTAAAAAAAAAAAATCAAGATACCATCAGAGAGTGTGAATAGTAAGAATGAAAAATATTGCCCACAATCCTTCACTGTAACACAATTTCTATCATTTATATATTTTTCTACATAAATACATAATTTTGCAGTTGAAAACAGTATATTCAACAATTTTGTATTTTGCTTTTTTTTTTTTTTTTTTTTTTTACTTCTCATCCTAAATTTTTTTCATGTTGCTGACCAGGTCCCTAACTACAATTAATGGCTACAGAATTCTCTATTAAGTGGTTGGATCATAACTTAATTAACCATACTGCTACAGTTACTATTTCTAGTTTTCTTTTACTATCAAGAACAAAGCAGCCCGGCCGGGCCGTGGCTCAGGGGTTGAGCATCGACCTATGAACCAGGTGCTTACAGTTCGGCTCCTGATCAGGGCGCGTGCCCAGATGGCAGGCTGAACCCCCACCCAGTGGGCACTGTGCAGGAGGCGGCCGGTCAATGATTCTCTCTCATCACTGATGTTTCTCTCTTTCCCTCTTCCTTCTCTCCGGAATCAATAAAAACATATTACAAAACACACACACACACACACACACACACACACACAGCAAAGCGCTTCGTTAAGCAATTAGCTTTTTCCCTCCCTCCCACCAGGTTGTTTTATTCGATGTGCAGTTCCCAGGCTCATGATGCCACGTTGCATCCACCCATCGACGCCGAGACGGTAACACGGAGGTTAACCGGGAACTCACTCTCTTCACGGCTCCCTCCCCGACACGCTTCAGCGGCCTCACTTCCGTCCTCAGCTCCGCGCAGGACAGCCATGCTGAGCAGCTGTCCATCGGTCCCACCCGGAAGTGCCCGTAGGGACAGCGCCGAGGGTCCGGGGCAGGACGCTGGGGGGCGACGAAGAAGCGATCGAGGCAGAGGTAGAGGAGCGCGTTCATGACAACCAAGGCCAGCAGCAGCCCCACAACCGGGGGCACCTCCCTGTGGGGGGCACTCCTTCTACCATCCTGAGGCTTCAGTTCCATGTTGTTATCCTCTGTGATTTCCTGAAACGTAAAGTGAAGTGATAACAGCTTTATGTTCAGTAACGTGTTTTTTTAAAATATATTTTATTGATTTTTACAGAGAGGAAGAGAGAGGGATAGAAAGTTAGAAACATCGATGAGAGAGAATCATCGATCAACTGCAACCAAGGTACATGCCCTTGACCGGAATCGAACCCGGGACCTTCAGTCCGCAGGCCGATGCTCTATCCACTGAGCCAAACGGTTTTGGCAGTAACGTGTTTTGTTTGTTTGTTTGTTTGTTTTGTTTTTTTAATTTTTTAATTAATTTTTTACAGAGAGGAAGGGAGAGAGATAGAGAGCTAGAAACGTCGATGAGAGAGAAACATCATCGACCAGCTGCCTCTTGCACACCTCCCACCAGGGACGTGACTGCAACCAATGTACATGTCCTTGACCAGAATCGAACCCAGGACCTTTCAGTCCGCAGACCGACGCTCTACCACTGAGCCAAACCGGTCTGGGCGGCAGTAACGTGTTTTGATGGTGAGGGCCTGAAGGTGGCCCACCCTCTAGGCCAGTGGTTCTCAACCTTCCTATCGCCTCGGCCCTTTCATACAGCTCCTCATGTTGTGGTGGCCCCCAACCACAAAATTATTTTCATGGCTACTTCATAACTATACATTTGCTTCTGTAAATGAATCGTAATGTAAATATCTGTGTTTCCCGATGGCCTGAGGCGCTACAGCAGTGGGTCTCAGGCCGCGACCCACAGGTTGAGAACCGCTAGCAGGGTCGCCTAAGACCACTGGAAAACACAGATGTTTACGTTATGATTCATTTACAGTAGAAATTTACGGTTATGAAATAGCCACGGAAATAATTTTATGGTTGGGGGGTCACCATGACATGAGGAACTCTATGAAAGGGCCGCGGCATTAAAAAGGTTGAGAACCACGGCTCCAGGCCTCTGCTATGCAAGGATCCTGCACGTGGGTGTCTTCGTGAGGATGGAAGACATGCCTGAGCGCTAGGCTCACTCAAAATGCTCAGTGTCAGCCAGGACCGGTTTGGCTCAATGGATAGAGTGTCGGCTTGGGGACTGAAGGGTCCTGGGTTCGATTCCGGTCAAGGGCATGTACCTTGGTTGCGGGCACATCCCCAGTAGGGCGTGTGCCAGAGGCAGCTGATCGATGACTCTCTCTCATCGATGTTTCTAACTCTCTATCTCTCTCCTTTCCTCTCTGTACAAAATCAATAAAAATATATTAAAAAAAATAAAAATAAATAAATAAATAAATAAATAAATAAATAAATGCTCAGTGTCAGCTGCTCTCGGTATTTATTACAAACCACAGTTTGGGCTCCTCTGTTACAGATTCAACTAGAGGCCCGGTGCATGAAATTCATGCCAGAGTGGGCCCTTGCAGCCCAGGCTGCCTTGGCCCTGGCAGCCCTGCCTCTCAACCTCATTTCTTTCCCCCTCCCCACACCCACTGATTGTTCGGAAGGTTGTCCGATCTAATTAGCATAATTACCTCTTTACTATATCGGATTAGAAGGGAGGTGTTAGTGTGCGGCCGATTTTGTCTTGACTCTCCCACCGTGTTTGCACCGAGTTGATACTCAATGACGAGTTAGTCAAATGAAAGCAAACTGGGGGCCAGGATAGAAGCTGGACAAAGGAGAGCTGCAGGTGGTCGGTGCGGCTGCAATGCCCTGGAACCCAGCAAAGGAACTGGCGTGTTCCTTGGAAGGTACTAAAAAACTCCTTAACATTTGTAAGCAGCAGCAGGCGTGAAAGGCGCATCTGGGGTGGAAGGAACTGAGGCCGAGGGACTGACTGGCAATGAGCCGGGATGAGAGCCAACAAGTAGGTGAGCGAGAATGGTGGTGGTGAGGAAGGAGAGAGGGGACGCAGAGATGGAGCTCACACTCTGTAACCACTCAGGGCCTGGTCACTCACCAAAGGAATGCCCTGGAGTCCGTGTGAGGACCCTGGTGAAGGCAGGCATCGCAGCTTCAGTTGTTGGATGGTGGAGGGCTGGGAGGGGAGAAGGCTGGGGCAGGGCCCTGGACACCAGGTGCTTGACACTCTGGGTGCTGGATGCAGGCGCTGCTCCCGAACGAGAAAGGGAAGGAAAGCAAAATCAGTTTTTACCAATTTACAAAATAAATACCTTACACAACCAGAGGAGAAACAGATGAATGTCACTCGATACAATTTAGAATGAAACCCTTAATTAAAATAATTACTTTAAATATTCCGATTCTATAATAAAGGTAAGAGACGGGAAAGACAGGACCACTAATAAAACAGTTAACCCCGACCGGTAGCCATCCGGGTGGAGTGTAGTCCCTGCAGGTTGCAGGTTCGATTCCCCGGGCGGGACGCATATGAGAGACAACCGATCCATATTTCTCTCTGTCCCCCTTCTTTCCTCTCTCTCTAAAAAAAAAAGTAAGTCAATAAATAAAATGGCTAAATCCTGCTTTTTTTAAAAAAAAGAGCAGCATATGTTTACGCCAAACAGAGGTCGGAGGTGGCTGGCACAGCTGGCACGGCGATCGCGTGCAGAATAAACTCTGGGGGGACCTAACGCCAGGAGTTTGGTGCCCAGCGCGCCGGGCGGACGCGGAGGGGCCCCGCGCGTGGACGCGGCTCCCGGGCCGGCGTGGCCTCCGGGGGCCTCCGGGCGGCGGGGCTGCCGGGCGAGGCGTGGGGGCGCGGGCCGGGGACACACCCCGCGGGGGCCGAGCTGCGCCCCGCACCAGCCCGCAGCACCGGGTCTCGCCCTGCGGGGGCACAGCCACTCCCCCCACGACGGCCCCCAGCCCGACCCCCAGCCCGACCCCCAGCGGCGCCTACCTGCCTACCCGGCAGGGCTCGCGGCCTCCTGCGCCTGCGCAACCGGAAACCAGCCCGGCAGGACGATCGCGAGGCTGCCCCCGGGCGCCCCCTGGTGTCCACCGCCCGCCGGGCACCTGGAGGCCAGACCCTGGCTTCAGGCAGATTCCAGACCCGGTGGACGGGTCAGTCTCCTCCTCTAGCTGCTTCTCCACAAACGTAGGACGGATGTGTTGACCTATCACTGTCTTAGACCAGACGCGCAGCCTGGTGCTGGGAAACGGCAGAGAGGGCCCTCAGACCAAATGCTGATGCTGCATATCTCCAGGGAAACTGTTAGATGTGAACATTGTTGGCTCCACCCCAGACCTGCAGGGTGGAGTCCACCCATCTGTGCTTGGCCAGGCCTCTGGGCGATGCTGATGCCCTGCAGGTTAAGAACCACTGGTTGGAATGGAAAGTCAGAGCAGAAAAGCTGATCTTCTCTCATTCAGACGCCCCAAAGGAGGAACCCTGGGATGGGAAACAAGCCTATTAAATATATTTTTTTAAAGAACATAAAAGAAAATGAGTGAGATATGAGAAACTTTTGAACAGAAAACTAATCAAGATGTAACTGACAAGGCAGGAAATTAAGGAAAGAAATGAATAAAGTTAAGTGCAGTCAGTTCTGCTATAATACAGTAAAAAAATTATATATATATATATATATATATATATATATATATATATATATATATATATATTTCAGTATGTTTGATGTATTGGGTATTTTGATGTACATCATTTGAATATTCCATCATTTCCCATTTGTTTGTATGATTTCATCCTGGAGAAATACAGGTGAATGCAGAAAACTGCACCAGCTGAGCCACACTGCACAGGAATGATCACACACATGTGCACGCCCCTCACATCTGACAGGGCATTCAATCCATCCAGTATGTTTGAGCCACACACATCCACACCTGGCGTCCGTGTTGATGAAAACACTTTGGTGGCTGCCTTGGCTGGCAGAGGCACCTTCCCCTGATCAGCCGGTGGCCTCCCACAGAGGGGAGTGGGCCTCAGTCATCAGGAGGTCATCCCCGGCAGGCTCCCGGGCTATGAGAAGGGGCAGGTTGCACCAATTTTTGTGCACTGGGCCTCTAGGCTATAATACAAGTGTGATATGCTAGACTGGACGTCCTTCTGAATGAAGCTGGGGCTGTGAGGGAAGCCTGGATCCCTGATGCTTGCTGGCAGCCAGAGGGAAGCTCGGGTTCTGGGTGCCAAAGGGAAGCCGGTGCCAGCAGCCAGGGGGTGGGGGTGGGGGAGGAAGGAAGGCCTACTCTTGCACTGATTTCATGCATCAGGCCTTTAGTTTAAAATAAAATGCCATATATCTTCTCCAGAAAGTATAATATTAAAATATTAAATCTTTCTGAATTCTTGAGATCATTTTTATGCTCTTTACAACTTCTTTAGTGGTAGTTTACTGCTTTGAAAACTGAAAATTCTTTATTGATAGAGGTGTATGTGCAGGTAGAGAACTAGCTTAACACTCCAATGTCTTTCTGAATTGCATAGGCTGGAATGCTATGAACTACATTTCCCAGATACCTTTGCAGTTAAGAGTTTTTTTGTCACTTAGGTTCTTTCATAAATGACATCCTAGATGCACTAAAGTGAGCCTTTACTTTAGAGCTGCATAGCATGGGAAGGGAAGCAGATGTGCTCATGTGAAATGATCCCAGGCAAAAAAATCTTAATGGTCCAGTTCTGTAGTGTGGCTTTGGGATGTATTTCTGGGAAGATCAGGCAGTGATTCTGTGAGCTACTTATATATCTTAATAAAATCTTTGGATTTAAACCAGCTTTAGTCAATTTTGTTACATGCAGTCAAGAACTGACCAATTCAAACTTTAATAACAGTTCCTAAAGCATAATCATGTTTCTGGTTTCTATAGTTCTATGTAAGTATTTTCTCCCTCAATTGCTTTTTTAAGCTAGCAAAATGTCCCTTATATATAGTGAAATGCTATTTTTAAAAATAAACTATTTCTGGAAATATATCTGAGAAGTCCTGAAACACTGGCTTGAAAGAATATATACACCCCTATGTTCATAGCAGCATTATTTATAATAGTCAAGATCTGGAAAGAACCCAAGTGCACATCAATAGATGAGTGGATAAAAAAAACTGGTACACTTACACAATGGAATGCTACTCGTCCATAAAAAAGAAACTCTTACCTTTTGCAACAGCATGGATGGACCTGGAGATTATAATGCTAAGTGAAATAAGCCAGTCAGTGAAAGACAAATACCATATGATCTCACTTATATGTGGAATGTAATGAACAAAATAAAGTGATGAATGAAACAGAAACAGAGCCGAAACCAGTTTGGCTCAATGGATAGAGCGTCAGCTTGGGAACTGAAGGATCCCGAGTTCGATTCCGGTCAAGGACATGTACCTTGGTTGTGGGCATATCCCCAGTAGGGGATGTGCAAGAGGCAGCTGACCGATGACTCTCTCTCATTGATGTTTCTAGCTCTATCTCTCTCTCTTCCTCTTTGTACAAAATCAATAATATATATATATAAAAGAAACAGAAACAGAGGCATGGACACATTGAACATTCTGACCGCTGTCAGGGGAGGGGGACTGGATGAAAGGTGAAGGGATTAGCTAAAGAATGTATATGCCTAACCCACAGACACAGACAACAGTGTGGTGATGGCCAGAGGGAGTGGGAAGAAGTTGGGTGGAGATGGGAGAAGGCGGACAAAACAGGGACATCTGTAATAGTGTCAACAATAAAAATAAAGTTTAAAAAAAAGTCAAACTACCATGGTGTTGTTTTAGGATACATCTGTAATTTTATTACAAAACCATTCTTTTGGCATTAGTTGGTTACAGTAATAGCGAGATATTGTGAGTGGCATAGCAGCTCTGAGTAACAATTGCATTTCTTGTTTCCTAAACCATAATTTAAGCTACCTTATATCCATTACATATAAGTTATTCATAATCATTTATGCTGCAAATCCTGATGTATATTCCATTTAGGGAGGAGTTGATGCTAAGGGATTAAAGTAAATGTTGAAAAGACTACAAAAGGACCTTTATGGGATTTTTTCCTTCTCCCTCCCCCAAATTACTTTGCTATAAAATAATCGAATTACTTAGAGCTAGTCTTCATGGCAGCAGCACCCAAGGAACATCGTACTTAGTTCTCATTAAAAAGCAATTCCTGTGCAGTGCATGTTTTATACTACAGACACAGGGAATGTTCGCTCTAGTTTTAAACTCCTGCATTAGAGTCTCTTAAAAAAATAAAAGCAGTCTATCAAGTTCTTCTAGATGGTGTTATTGCTGTACATTTGTTGGTGGGTCACTTTCTGTGCTGTGTTTGCTTTGAAGAGATCTTCCAATATATCTCCAATACTCCTTTCTTATGGTGTCCTTTTCTTTAGCTAGGATTTCACATAACTAAAAATGGAAAACAGACAATTAATTAAAGAAAATGCGTAATTAAATCTTCAGGGCAAGTGCTTTTGAGCTAATACAGCTTAACTCAATCACATTCAAATGAGATACACCACCAGAGTTGCGTACTATGTTCACTAGTGACGTGGTAGTGCTCTAGGCAACAGAAATAGTCCTGCATTGAATTCTGAGTAACTGTGTTGAAAGGAACATGAATATTAGTGGCACTGGGAAGACCCAATTCTGAGACAGCAAAAAGCAAGTGACGAGTCCCAGGAGCTTACCTCTAATGCTTTATTAAGAATGTCCTCCTTGTTGTCACATTGGTTTTCTAGCATATCTTCATAGATATCCACAAGAAAGGCAATTAGGTAGGGGGAACTATGACTTGGTTGCAAATCAAGCAATTGATTTAACAGATTGGGATATTTGGAAAGACCATGATCCTGCAAAATCCTAAAACAGAAATTATTCTAAATTTTGAGAAGAGCAAAAAGAGTAGAAAGATCAAGAGAAAATAGCCCCTGTGACATAAGCAAGAAAAGGAGACATTTTGAATGAAGTTGAAACCTAATGAAATTCACACAAAATTAAAGCAGAAAATAAGTATCAAAATTAAGAAGTGAAGAAAAACACAGGAAAGTTTTAACTTTCCTTTTAGCTCAAACCTTGTAGGTTTAACAAGTAAGACTTGTAACAGATCTCTAGAAGTGAATCAGAGATCTGCAATTGTGCAATCCGATTGTAAATAGTTGGCCTTGCCTTACTGTGTTACTGAGCTGCACATACACTGAGGGTGTGTGTTCCATTCTTTTTTTTTTTTTCACTGTCTAAGTCTATAACAGCTTGTCTCATAGAGAAGAGCACCGGAATAGGTTAGACTTTGTTGCTGTATTCCATTCTTTGTCATACAGGATTCATAATTTCAGTTATAATTTATTATTGTTCACTCATGGACTACTCTGAAAACTGGGCTGGTATATGTGCTTGGGAGGTGGAGAGAAGGGTAGAAGACACTGCTTTTGGGTGTTGCCACAATACACTTCTGCTCTCAGAGAAAAAAAGAAAAATTTCAGTATCATTTTGGAATCTGATTATGGAACATAGTCCGTAATGCATCATATTAACAGGTTGTATTTTATATAAAACGAGCAAAAAACATCCTCTTACCCTTTCAAATAGTTCCACGCACTTTCATTGTGTGGTACTAGCTTGATCATTTCCAGAGTGTACCTATAAAAAAAAGAGCACAAATATGTGTATGATTTTAAGAGCAGTGCGATAATTAGAAACAGTTTTAATAAGACAGTAGCATAGCTTAGATATGTGCTTTCATTTCTCTCTGAGTGGACTTTGTACCTCTCTAGATCATATTTAAGTCTCTCTAGTCTCCAACTGTCAGTTTTTTTTTTGACATAGTTCTTCCCTATTGAATATTTGTATCCAATTCTGGAGACGGACACTCAATATGAAGGCTCAATTCATAACACAAAAAAAATTAAAGATTTCCTTTAATTTAGGCTTTCCCTCTGAAGGAAAATGTCAGCTAAAATAAGATTTTTCTTTTACCTATAAAACAATCTTGGGGGGAAAGTCTAAGATCTATTTATGGCTGTCAAATCCTTAATTGTTGAAAAAGGAGAACTATATAATCTTAGTAAATGCTTGATAAATAGTAACTATTATTAACTGTACTAGTAGGTTATGTACTCAAATGGAAATATTACCATGATGTATTTAGTGAAGGAAAAAAAAAAAAGCAATGTGTATAATATGATTGCCTAGGTTGCTATGTGTTTGCAATGTATTTATAAAGCTTGAAAGGATTCATTACTTGTAGCTCACTCTAAAGAATGGGATATGGGCCCTGGCCAGTAGCTCAGTTAGGCAGAGTGTTGTTTCAATGTGCCAAGGTTGTGGTTTGATCCCCCATCAGAGCACATACAAGAATTGACCAATGAATGCATGGATAAGTGGAACAACAAACTGATGTTTCTCTCTTCCCCTTACTCTCTCTCAAGTCAATGAGGAAGGGGAAATACCCCACAATTTTTCAAGAATGTGATATGGGAAAAAGAATAGATTATGATGTTTAATTTTATACAATTCAGTATAATTCCCCACAAGTATTGTATTGTTTTTATAATAAAAGGGAAAAACTATAGAAAATAATCAGCTACACCTATATTCTTAGAGTTGAATTTAATTAAGAAACTAAATTAGAGAAAACTACTGCTATTCTTAGCATCTTAAATATTTCTTTTACCTATCTAAAGGGTATAATAAACTTTGAGAATGAAAAACTCTTAAGATTCTTGGCTGATTATTTTTATTTTTATTTGGTTTTAGAAAGCTGGTGAACTTCCTTTAAAAACTATGAGAGAAGTCTGCATTTTCCAAATTCTTTATATTCAATTTTTAAAATATCTTATTATGTTTAATCTAATGTAGTAGGCTACAATAAATAAGGAACATATATTTTTAAAGTTCCTAATTATTAACTGGATTTTTTCAAGGTAGAATAAACTAAAGCATCCTAGCTTTGGCAAGGAAGTTAACTTTCTAAAGGATGATACTTTGCTTTCCTTCAGAGCACCCTTTTCCTAATCCTCACAATGGAATACCAGCTATAAAAGGAAAAAAAACAGGAGCTGTTAATTAACTTTCACAATTAAAAATTATGATTATGGTCTCATGAGGCTATAAAAGCAAGTATGTTTAAATTTAAATCAGACTACTGAGACAAAATAGACAAAAGTCAGAAAAGAGATGGCTATTAATGTTTATGGATATACACACACATTCATGGCAATTCAGAAATTTCCAGCTCTTATAATAGCCTTATGCTTGCTAGACCAGTAGTTTTCAGCTGAGAATAACTATGTTAGCAAGAGGTCATCTGGCAATATTGGGGGACATTTTTGTTTGTCACAAATGGGAAGGGAGGGTTACTACTGATCTACAGATGCCCCTGAATTTATGACAGGGTTATGTTCCAATAAACCCATCATAAATTGAAAATATTGTAACTCAAAATATATTTAATACACCCAACATACAGAACATCATAGCTGGTTTCTACTGATTTCTACTGCTTTCACAACACTTTTTACTTAAAAAAATCTTTATTGTTGAAAGTTCTACATATGTTCCCCCACTGACCACTTCTAGCCCACCTCCAACCCCCACGCCATTCACATCTTAGTCAAAAAAATCATAAATCAAACCATTGTTAAGTCGAGGACTGTCTGCATAGGGTATACAGGTCAGGTATGCTCAACATACTACAATGCACAGGACAGTCCCTACAACAAAGATTTATCTGGCTCAAAACCCTGCAATAGAACAACATGGCACCAGGGGACTATTATCCAACATACAAAAGAATTTAATATGATAAGCTTTTAAACAAAGCTTCCTAAGCACTATGAAATCTGATTAGTTCTCGATCTACAGTAGCAACAATATTTCAAGGAAGTTAAGACATTACAAAGCAGAGGTATACTACATAGTTGTAAATTTATCATTATAAATTTCATCTTAGTATTCTGTCCTTAGTTCTGTGAGGGAAGAACTGGACGCAGTCCTGACCTTTGCGGTATCCCCAATACTTGACATATGGTAGGCACACAAATATTCTTTTATTGAGTGAGCAAGTGAAGGAGATTACTAACTGGACTTCTCTTTCCAGGATAGTCCGATCATTGTAGCCAGTGGTGTTAGAAATTACGAAGTATCTTTGGTTCCAGACAGAATTATTTCTCACATCCTCTTTAAGAAGTTGGTCTACATACTGCAGCTCATTATCCCAAAGTTTAAATTCCTAAAAGAAAATAAATAATTAAGTATCCAATTAGAAATGTCCCATTATTTATAAACAATAAATATTAATCAAATTTCAGCAAAGCTAAGTAGGTCTAACTGGAGATGTAGGACTCAACACACAGTTGGAGAATGACAGTTGCAGGTCAAGTAAACGCAGTGAGAATAAAAGAAATAAAAAACAAGGAATTGATTATGAGGGATCAAAACAATCAGAAGAGAGAGCAGCCAAAGCAGCCTGTAATCCAGTACCATCTTCTTGAGAACAATTCAGGTAACCAGATGCACAATTATGCTATCTGAGCCAACAATTATTCTAAAGGACAAAATCAAAAGCAAAAGAAGTATATTTAACTAAAAGCTTATGCATTGTTTATGGTGAAATTTTAGAGGAAACTTAAACCCCACCAAACTTAGTAAGAAAATGATTAAATACAACATATTAATTTGATGAGATTAATTTGATATTAATACATTAAATAAAACAAATATTCAAAATGCACACATATGAAAAAATTAGATGTAGAGAAAGACCCACAATTAGGTTCAGACATGTTTTCACATTATAAAGCTAATTTTTAGAGGAGAAACCAAGATAGTGACATAGGTAAACACCTGAACTTGCTGCCTTGCACAATCACTTTAAAACAACTAAAAGACAGCCGGGACCGGTTTGGCTCAATGGATAGAGCGTCGGCTTGGAGACTAAAAGGTCCCGGGTTCGATTCCGGTCAAGGGCATGTACCTTGGTTGCGGGCATATCCCCAGTAGGGGGTGTGCAAGAGGCAGCTGATCGATGACTCTCTCTCATCGATGTTTCTAACTCTCTATCTCTCTCCCTTCCTCTCTATACAAAATCAATAAAATATATTTAAAAAAAATAAATAAATAAATAAAACAACTAAAAGACAAAACAAACATCATCCAGAATCACAGAAAGGCTGGCTAAATGGAAATTCTACAACTAGAAGGGAAAAGAAAGCACACTGAGACTCAGGAGGTGCAGAAGTAAAGTGCAGACATACAGAGGCCCACATGCACATGGAGAAAGCTGGCAACTGAGTACACGGCTGGCCTTTTCAATCTGTAGGGAGACACAAGCTGCTGACTGCTCTGAACTCCAGTTCTGGATGAGACTCTGGGGACTCAGACTCAGACTCATAAGGGGAGACACTGGACTCTCTGGCAGTGGGCGGAACTCGAGGGTGGTACTTGCAGCGATTACCAAGGGACAGTGAGACCCAGGGGGTGCCTCTTAGGGCAGGGCTGACGGGAAGCCATTGCTATTTGCTCTGCCCTGAGACTCTGGCCTCATCCAAGCTGTGCATAGAGGCTTTTGCATATGAATGGCCTGGTCCTTTGAAATCTAAACTTACCTTTCAAAGTGCAGCTGAGTCAGAAAGACCCAGAACATCCAAAAGAAAGCCCACAGCACCACAGCAGCTTGCATTGCTTCACAGCTGGGCCTCATCTGGGCACCTCCAAAACCCAAACAAAGAAGAGGAATCTGCAGATCTCTCCATAGCTCCTGCTGGGTGGCCTCAGGCAGAGGCTAAATTAGCACCTCCTTGGAGATCCAAGAGCCAGTTTATGCAGGGGTCGGAGTAGGACCATCCAGATTACAACTCCTCAGATCCATAAAGGGACACACTCAGGGGGCAGACTCAATAAGCAACAAAGCACCACTGAAGCAAGTCTTGCTTCATAAGGGTGTCTCCAGAACAGAAGTTCTCCCATCGTAGACACAGCTGATCCTCACAGCTAATTGGCCTGGAGGTCAATTCCTCTCAGTGATACCAACAACAATCAAGGTTTAACTACAATAAGACTGTGCACATAACCCACAAAGGGGTGCACCAAGAGTGTCCACCTCAGGTAACTGGGGAGGCTGAGCCACTGGGCCCTATAGGACACCTAGCACACAAAGCCACTCTATCAACTCAGGGAAGCAGCCAAATGCGGAGACAAAGAAACAGATCACAAATGACAGAAATGAAGAAAAGCAAATGACTGGATATAGAGTTCAAAACCACGGTTATAAGGTTTTTCAAGAATTTTCTAGAAAAGGCCAATAAATTTAGTGAGACCCTCGAGGATAGGAAAAAGGACCAACTAGAAATTAAGCATACACTGACTGTAATAAAGAATAATATACAGAGATCTGCCAAGACCGGTTTGGCTCAATGGATAGAGCGTCGGCTTAGGGACTGAAAGGTCCCGGGTTCGATTCCAGTCAAGGGCATGTACCTTGGTTGCGGGCATATCCCTGGTAGGGGTCGTGCAAGAGGCAGCTGATTGATGACTCTCTCTCATTGATGTTTCTAGCTCTCTATCTCTCTCCCTTCCTCTCTGTACAAAATCAATAAAATATATTAAAAAAAAAAAAAAAGAATAATATACAGAGATCTAACAGCAAACTAGAGGATCACAAGAATCAAGTCAAAGATGAAGAGATACTGTAAGGAGCCTCTGGGACAACTTTAAGCATATCAACATCTGAATTATGGGGGTGCCAGAAGAAGAAGAGAGAGCAAGCAAGATACTGAAAATTTAATTGAAGAAATAATGACAGAAAACTTCCCCCACCTGATGAAAGAAATTGACTTACAAGTACACGAAGTGCACAGAATCTCAAACAAAAGGAATCCAAAGAGGACCACACCAAGACACATCATAATTAAAATGCCAACAGCAAAAGAAAGAGAGAATTTTAAAAGCAGCAAGAGAAAAACAATTACCTATAAGGGAGCACCCATATGATTGGCAGCTGATTTCTCAACAGAAACTATGCAGGCCAGAAGGGAGCAGCAAGAAATATTCAAAGTGGTGAATAGCAAGAACTTACAACCAAGATTACTCTACCCAGCAAAGCTATCATTCAGAATTGAAGGTCAGATAAAGAGCTTCACAGATAAGAAAAAGCTAAAGGAGTTCATCACGACAAAGCCAGTATTATATGAAATGCTGAAAGGTATTCTTTAAGAAGAGGAGGAAGATGAAAAGGTAAAGACAAAAACTATGAACAATAAAGTGACAACAAATACATATCTATCAACAAGTGAATCTAAAAATCAAGTGAATAAAAAGTCTGATGAACAGAATTGGTGAATATAATAGCATCAGGGGCATAGAAAGGAAGTAGACTGACAATTCTTGGGGGAAAGGAGTGTGGGAAGAGACTGGACAAAAATCGTAAACCTATGGATGAGGACAGTGGGGGTGTGTGTGTAAGGGCAGAGGGTAGGGTGGGTATTGGGTGGAGGGGAGCTATGGGGGCAAAAAGAGGACAGCTGTAATTATCTGAATAATAAAGATTTATTAGAAAAATAATAAATCCTCTCTCTCTTTAAAAATCAATAAATAAAGAACTATAAAATAAAAACAAACAAAAAAAATGATGGAGAAGAGAATCCGTACAGATAATTTGGAAAAAAAATTAGAATGATCAAAACTTACAAATGCTAAAACAGTCAGGGACGTTAACTATGAAAAAGTTAGTAGAGTTATATTTCTTATTTTTTTAATAGAAAAAAAAGGTAGAAATTCATAAAAAGTTAAAAATACTGAATACCTTAAAAAATATATCCCTTTACTCAAATTGAGAAAAGTTTAGAATTTTAAAGGAAAAAATAATTTGATGAAATAATCCTGGTATAATGAATAGCACAGAAAGCAGTAATTCCTGGGGAAACTTCCACAGGAAACAGCGCTAGGATTGTTTGGTAAAATAAATTAATGCCCAGAGGGGGAGTCCTGCCTACGCTCTTCTGTTCAAGATTTGGCATAAAATGTTAACAAATGGGCAGAAATAAAATATATAATAGTTTCTGTAAAAATCATATTCCTAAGTTTATATATGCAAAAACCTTAGTGTGTACAATGCTCTTGTTAATTAAAATAACAAAGTTGTATTAAAAATTAGAACTACTTTTTCTACTCAATTTGTTGGCAAATATAAGATATGATATATATTCAATCTAAAAATATTAAGTTAGTATTATTCTTCTTTAATATGAAGCTACTTACAAATATATCTCAAGAAATTATAAAGGTTAACCAACATGAAGTGTCAGATAATTAAGTAACTTAATAATTATTAATAATGATATACATATTCTGTTTATATCTATATATGTAAACTACATGTGTGCTTCAGTTCAGAAGTATACTTACAATTTAATAATTTTATTTAATTCAGTTAAAAAATAAAAAATTGGAAAACACTGTAATAAGAAAGGCAATACCTGAATAACCCACTGTCGATGTTGCCAGGCATGATAATTCTTTGCATCCTGATTAAGAATATCAGCAATAAACTCAAGCTCCTGAGATGGATCTTTTAGCCACTCCACTAAGACTCGCCTATGATGCCTAAAGCCAGGTGGAACAGGGAGAGAAGTTTTGTGTGAATTTATTCAGGAACTAAAGTAACAGTTTCATGTACTGCGCTAGGTGATGTGAAGGGACACTTAACAGAAATCATCTCTAATTCTCAAGGCTCTATTGGAGAGAAAAGGTAACAAAAAAGATACTCTAGCAGGGGCCAGTTTGGCTCAGTGGATACAGCGTTGGCCTAAGGACTGAAAGGTCCCAGGTTTGATTTCCATAGGCACATCAAACGCCATTTGTTCAATACTGGATCCATCTCTCTTCCCCAGAAATGTGCTGCTTTGTCTTATAAATTCCCCAGTGGTTGGCACTACCATACCCAGTATATTGACATCATTGTTCTTCACTCCTCCAATAAATTAAACTTCAAACCTGTTGCTTCTGTCTGCAAACCCTCTCTCGAATATATCCCTTCTCTCTCCTAAACCTCTTCCCCACCCTCTCTAACCCAGTGCAATGGCCTACCAGTGCTGTGAACCTATTCCATCTATATTCCACCCTATAGTCAGGGTAAAACTTCTAAGACACAAAACAACCATGTTACTTCCTTAATTAAAATTTGGCAGTAGCTCTGCACTGCCTAAGATCAAGTCCACACTCCTTACTAACGTTCATAGGCTCTTTATGATCTTATCCCATTTACTCTAATCACATGGATTTATACCCCTTCCTGAGTGCATTGTGCTCTTTCACGCGTATCCCGAGAATCGTTCCTCTCAGAAATCAACCTTAAATCTCAGGCATAAAGACAGGAACGTGTCAATTATTATACTGGGGGAAAAATGGTATAACTCCTGCATTTTGAGCAGGCAGTGAGTGGCACAGAAAGTGGAGCCAGTTGCTTCTGCTACTTCACTAGCTTCACTATCACTTCCTCCAGATCACCTCCTCCTTTACCACCTCCACCACCACCACCACCACCACCACCACCACCACCACCACCACCACCACCACCGTTCAACCTCCACTTCTTCCACCAACATGACCTCCATGACTATTCCACTGTGAAATAACTGGACTCACTATTTGCTTTTCCTTTTAGATTGTATCTGGTTCATCTTTGTATCTCCAGCATCGGTATAAATATTTTAAATAAAAAAATAAGTACAAGATCAAATACCAAAAAGGCATTTTTTTTAACACAAAGAAAACACTTCACATTTTTAATTTAAAAAATACATATTTTTTTATTGATTTTTTTTTTTTTACAGAGAAGGAGAGAGGGATAGAGAGCTAGAAACATTGATGAGAGAAAAACACCAATCAGCTGCCTCCTGTACACCCCCCAACAGGGGCATGCCTGCAACCAAGGCACATGTCCCTGACTGGAATCGAACCCGGGACCTTTCAGTCCACAGGCCGACGCTCTATCCACTGAGCCAAACCCGCCTCATCACATTTCAGATTTTTTAACTTAAATTCTTTTTTGAGACTAGCAGAATTACTGCTAGATGTTTTAAATAATAATAGTAGCAAACATTTTAGTGTTAAGCATGGGTCAGGCACTACTTTAAACACTAAAAAAATTGTTTCATTTGATATTCTTAATAACCCTGTGAGGCAGATAACATTAGCTTCAATGCAAAGTACTAAAATTATAAACAAACGATTCCCTATATTTGCATCACCCATTGGCAGGTACTATCAACATAGTAACACATTTCCCTCCTATTTTCATCTTACCAAACTTGGTAGTTTTTGGGCTGTTCTTCAATTATTGCAGTGATGTAGTTCATTTCCTCATGTAGGTCTTTTTGTAGTGACTTTAAAAGAACTCTCCGGAAATGCCTATAGCAAGCATCAAGCATTCAAAGTCTCATTACTCCACATAAATTGCCTCCCCACAGTATCAAATAAAGCTACAACAGAATAAGAATTTTTTTTTTCCGGGGGTGTCTAACTTCCTACATATATATATTGTCATTAGAAGAATCAAGCATTTAAACATATTTTATTGATTTTCCACAGAGAGGAAGGGAGAAGGATAGAGAGCTAGAAACATCGATGAGAGAGAAACATCCACCAGCTGCCTCCTGCACACACCCCGATCGGGGATGTGCCTGCAACCAAAGTACATGCCCTTAACCGGAATCGAACCTGGGACCTTTCAGTCCGCAGGCCGACGCTCTATCCATTGAGCCAAACCGGTTTTGGCAACAATCAAGCATTTAAAAGTAATTTTTTTCTTCCATCCTCCCAAATTCTCTCTTTGAACAACTATCAGTTTGTGCTCTACAACTATGAGTCTGTTTCTGTTTTATTTATTCATTTATTTTCTTTTTTATTTCACAAATATGTAAAATCATATGGCATTTGTCTTTCTGTGTATGACTTCGCTTAGCATAATACCTGCTATGTCCACCCATGTTGCCACAAATGGCAAGATTTCATTCTTTTTTATTGCTGCATAATATTCCACTGTGTATACAGGATGTGGCAAAAGTAGGTTTACATTTGTAATACAAATAATACAATTTTAATAAATAATTGTATAAGAATAAACTTTTTAAAATATATTTTATTGATTTTTTACAAAGAGGAAGGGAGAGAGAGATAGAGAGCTAGAAACGTCGATGAGAAACATCAACCAGCTGCCTCTTGCACACCCCCTACTGGGGATGTGCCCGCAACCAATGTACATGCCCCTTGACCGGAATCAAACCTGGGACCCTTTAGTCCACAGGCCGACGCTCTACCACTAAGCCAAACTGGTTTCGGCCAAGAATAAACTTTTGCATACTCACAACTGTAAGTCTACTTTTGCCTATTGCTGTATATACAGTACACTACATCTTTATCCGTTCATCTATTGATGGACATCTAGGTTGCTTCAATTTCTCGGCTGTTACTAGTAATGCTGCAAGGAGCATAGATGTGCATAATCTTTCCAAATTAGTGTTTTTGCTTTCTTCAGATAAATGCCCCAAAGTAGAATTGCCCAGGGCTGCTCGAAGCACAGGCAAGCCTCAGATGGCAGGTGTCCAGTCCAGGGCTGCCTAGGGCTCAGGTAACCAGGGCTGGCAGAGGCTTGCACTGCTGGCAGTGGCAGCAGCAGAGGTGTGATGGGGGTGTTGCCTACCCCTGAGGGTTCCAGGACTATGAGAGGGGGCAGGCTGGGCTGAGGGACACCCCCTCCAGTGCATGAATTTTCATGCACCAGGCCTCTAGTTATTTATATAATAGTTCATTTAGGTAATTATTTACATAGTTCATTTAGATAATTATTTATATAATAAATTAATTCCATTACAAATATTACCACATATTTTACTTTTAAAACCACCACAAAAATGCTACTTATAAATAAAAGAAGTGTAGTGGATAGTGAACTCTGTATCTTCCACAGAAGGAAAAGATAATATCTAAATGAAAACAAAATTAAGCATACTATTTAGAATATACAGTTTAATTCAAGAAAAAAACAGCTAGAGTTACTACCTCTGAGGAGTGGGACTTTGGTAGTGAGAAGGAATGGGGCAGAGGGTGCTATTTTTCATATGCAAATTATTATTTTGACAAAAGTTAAAGTTTAGTTAAGAAAATAAAAGCCATCCAAACTAAAACATAAGATATTTAAACAGGAAATATTAATAATATATTACTTACCACACTGTATAATTGGCTGCATTTAACTCTATAGCATCTCTGGTTAATTTAAAAGCTCGCTCACTTCTTTCATCACGCTGCAGAACAGCCCGGAAATAATCATAAACATCTCTAACTGCAAATAGCACAAAACTGCATTAGGGCTATCCTTCTTGTTTAAAACTACCATTATACTATAAAATGTTGTTATATCTTACAAAGAAAAATATTTTATTGCATCATTTAGAACAATACGCAAAATTAGTCAAATTATTGTGTGAATACCACCCTGAAAATACTTCAGTATCACAGGCACAAAGTTTCTAACTTGTGTCTTTTTTTTTTCACTGAATGTTGTTTTTGAGGTCTGTGTCCATGTTGTAACAGATCGAGATCTTCTTAATAGTCATATAGTAGTAAATTGTATGACAATACATTTTATATACCCACTAGAGGCCTGGTGCACGAAATTCGTGCTCTGGGCAGGGTGTCCCTCAGCCTGGCCAGTGCTCTCTGTCTGGGAGCCCTCAGGCGATGTCTGACTGGCACGGGGTGGGAGAGGCTCCTGCCACCACCACTGCATCCCCCAACAGTGAGCCCGCTTTCGGCTGAGTGGCGCTCCCGCTGTGGGAAGCACCCTGACCACCAGGAGGCAGCTCCTCCATTGAGCATCTGCCCCTGGTGGTCAGTGGGCATCACAGTGACTGGACATTCTGAGATTTGCATATTAACCTTTTTTATATAGGATTCTCCAAAACATGGATATAGAGGATGGAATAGAGGTACAGAGGTTAAATTTAAATAATTTGTTCAAGGTAATAGTAAAATGAAGTTAGAATGCGAACCAGGTGGTAATAAAATCTGGATAGTGACTTGCACTCATTCATAACTTCCTAGTATGTCTTCTGATGCCATATGCCAGAGTGAACCCAGAATGTATTATAGAAGCAGCATTGTAAGATGTGGGCATTTTCCAGTTTTACTAGACATACCACTCTGCTTTCCAAAATGGCTAAAATATGAAAACTACCATCAGAAATACATGTATCTGTTTATATGACCTAATATACTTGATATCACAGGTTTAATCTTTGCTATTCAATTCATGGGTAGAAATGGCATTCCCATTTTAATTTGCATCCCTCTCATTCTTAATAATAAATTTCCCTCTCTACTTAAAAGACAATGAAATTTTCTCTTCTGTGAACTATCAGTTTATATCCTTTGTCCATTTTTTTTTAAATCCTCACCTGAGAATATTTTTTCCATTAATTTTTAGAGAGAGAAAGGGAGGAAATAAGTGGGGAAAAAGAGAGAGACATCACCCAGACCAGGGACAGGGACTGAACCTGCTACGGAGTTATGTGCCTTTGACCAGGGATAGAACCCAAGACCAACGGGCTAACCAGAATGGAACCTGGGACTCTTGAGTCCACAGGCCGACACTTTATCCACTGAGCCAAACCGGTGAGGGCCTTTGGCCCATTTTTTAATGTTTGTTTCCTTAACCTTATAAAGTTCTAAGTTATCAATCCTCTGTTTAATATGGTGTATCTTCTCCAATAATGCTGTTTGCCTTTCAATTTAGTCATGGTGTCTTCTCTTATATACATTTTATTCATTCATTCATTCATTCATTTATTTATAATATATATTTTATTGATTTTTTTTTTTTTTTTTTTTTACAGAGAGGAATGGAGAGGGATAGTTAGCAACATCGATGAGAGAGAAACACCAATCAGCTGCCTCCTGTACTCGCCCTACTGGGGATTGCCCACAAACAAGGTACATGCCCTTGACCGGAATCGAACCTGGGACCCTTCAGTCCACAGGCTGACCCTCTATTCACTGAGCCAAACGGGTTAGGGCTCTTATACACATTTAAATTTTGAAATATTCATATATCAATTTTTGATCAATAAGTCATATTTCATTATATTTTCCTTTGTGGTTTGTAATCATATGTAATTATTTCAAATGATGATTCTTTTTTATCTTGCAGAAAATATCTAGTTTTATTATTTTTAATAAGAGAAATGTATGATTATATCAGTTTTCTCTAACATCTTTGTTACAGGTACCTTATGAATATGAAAAAATTGTGGTCTTTCATTTCTCTGATCACTAGTTGGGTTAATATCTCTTTGTAGATATTCTCTATTTTTTCTAGTATTATATCTCCACATATAACATCTCACCATGTGAAAGTTTTTTATTTTTTATACAGTTAAATTTCTGATCTTTTCTTTAATCAATTCTGTCTTGTAACTTGCTCACTACTACCACCTTCTTCACTCCAAGAATGAAAGATTATTCTCTAATATTTAATCCTAGAATATTTATAATTTTGTTCTGAAATTATTTTCATGTAAGCTATGAGATAGAGATATAATTTTGCTTATATCCAAATGCATAGCAAACTGTTAAAAAAAACATTATTTGATTAATCTATCTTTTTCATACAGGTATGAGATATCCTTTTTATCAAATTCTCATTTATACTGATGATGTATTTTTAGATTCCTTACTAATCTATTTCTGTTCCAGTTCCACATGATATTTTTAGTAATACATTTTCATATTTGGTAAGGCAAACCCTTACACCATTATTCTTCCTTTTCAAACATATTTCGTATTACTTCATAATAAATAAATAAAAAACAATGCTTTTTGTATCAGAGGAATGATCTTGGATAACAAAGCCTTAACTGAAAGAAATATATATGTACATACATAAAACTACAGAACTAGCATTCCATTTTATTCATTTCACTTCCCTAGAACAACCAACAATTAACATTTCCACGACCTTCAAAGTACAAAGCCTTTTCACATTCACTTTGTCAAAGAATGATACTTTGTCAAAGAAAATAATCCATTCATTTTAATATCAGTAAATGTATTCCAACTGAATCTCTCTTTGTTAAAATATATTCCAAAATGCTCATATTTCAGCAACCAAAGTTTATTCTAAATAAAACAGTAACTCATTTTATGTTGTAGATTAACTGTAAATGAAAAATACAATCCCAAAGTAGCTATTATGTATTATTATATATCACTCATGCCTTGGCCCGATAGAGCATTGGCCCATGCACCCAAGGGTGGCAGGTTCGAATCCAGGTCATGGGCACATACCTGAGTTGCAAGTTTGATCCCCCACCCAAGTGGAGGCCTGTGAAGGAGGCAATCAGTGGATATATCTCCCTCACACTGATATTTTTCTTTCTCCCCCCCCCCTCTCTTTCTCTCTCTCTCCTGTTTCTCCTTCTCCTTTTACTTCCTTCCACACGCTCTAAAAATCAATTAAATAATATTCTTGGGTGAGGGTAACAAAAAACACACACGAGAAATAATGTAATAACATTCATTACTTAGAATATGTCTCTTTGGACAAAATAAAACACTTAGTCATGAAAATAAATTATAAAAAACACAATGTTAGCTTATCATAGTCATTTAGATCTTTGTCAGACAAAAAATCTATCATTTTACTTAGCCATATTGTGAATTTCAACTCTGCCACTAAGTTTGATTTCTAGACCTTTTCGTAATAAAAATAAACTTACATTTTTCACTATAAATGATCTGGACCACTGGATTGGGGCCATCGTTCTGTGGCACTGGCTCTATATCAGCCCATTCTGCTCTGTCTCTGAAATATATGTATATATTTTCAGTGATTATATTCAAGTAGGTAAAAACAAAACAAAAAACCTCTGGTATTTTTAAAATAGCTACAATCACACTTACATTAATACTAGTAGCTTTTAAACATCTTAATGTAACTATGGTTGGCTTCTTCATGACCAAGTTTTGCCACTTTGCTTTATATGTTCAACTTTAAAATAAAAATAATGTAAATAATCTTCCAAATAAAGTTTTCAAATTTAAGATTTATAGGTTAGTAGAAAAATATATTTTGCAGCACGTATACAATAATGTTAAATTAGAAATCAATCTAATTCATTGGTCTAATAAGATTCTTTGTGAGTTAGTATTTTTTAAAGACTGAGTAACAATTTAGTAGGAATGGACATTTTAAAATCAAAGTAAGCACTATTATACAACTATCTGAATTGAATTTTGGTTGGCTCTACCACTTACCAGCTGTGTGACCTTAAGTTACTTAACCTCTCTGAGCCTCAGTTTCTTCATTTATAAAATGGAGATGATAATATTACCGATCAAATTTAAAAGACTGTTTGGAGGATTGAGATAACATGTCAAGCATTTAAAATGTGCATTCAATGAATACTCCCATTATCCATGCTAAAATAACATTTTAGTGGCAACAACTGGGTACCACAGACATTTCTGTGTGAACTGCTGTGTGAACACTTTTTACGTATATTCTTTTCCTTTCACTTATTTTTTAGTTCTCTCTACCAATCAGCTATTGACAGTGAAGATTCTGTGGCATCCAGGCAATCCTGAAATTGCGTCCACCAGGGAAATCACAGGAAGCAATTACCAGGGGTGTGAGACATGAGAAGGGTAAGGCTGTCATTTAAGTCAGCGGGGAAGGAGCTATAGCCACGTGAATAAGCCGAATATTTATTTCAGAATCCAGACAGACAGGAGGATGGAGAATGATGGGGTCACTCCCCAACCAATTTAAAACAGTAAAACATTAACAATAAAACAGTAACAAAACCTGGACAGCGACTTGCACTCATTCACAAAAACAAGGCAAATAAGCAATCTAATGAATTTACCTAGAACTACAGGAGGAGGAAAAAAAAAATAAGACAAAAGAAAAAAATAAGACGTAAGGACTTCTCACTAGTCTCTCTGTAGGTTCAATTGGAGCTGGGGAACAAGGGTTGTCAGAAAACAAAGAGCTGATGGAGATAGGGCCGGGTGCTGGCAAAGATGCTGAGAAAAGGCAGCAGAGTCTCAGCAGTTCCTAGCACCGCCCGCCACACAGCACCACGTCCGAGACGGGGCAGGGAAGAGAGTCCAACAACCAGCATCTTTCCCTCCGTACAGCCCAGCTAGGTGCCTGGCTGATGCTAGGAGTTAAAATGTTGAATGGAAATGCCCCCAGTCCTTGACGATCTTATACTACTAGCTCTCTCATTTCAGCAGAACAAATCATGGTAAGTCTTTAAAGCGAGCAAATCATCCGAAACCGGTTTGGCTCAGTGGGTGGAGCGTCGGCCTGCCGACTAAAAGGTCCCGGGTTCGATTCCGGTCAAGTGCATGTACCTTGGTTTGCAGGCACATCCTCAGTGGGGGGTGTGCAGGAGGCAGCTGGTCGATGTTTCTCTCTTATCCATGTTTCTAGCTCTCTATCCCTCTCCCTTCCTCTCTATAAAAAATCAATAAAATATATATATAAAGAAGGGTCCCACTCACAAACCAAACCCTCAAAAAATGTTTAAAAAAAAATAAAGTGAGCAAACCTGGAACTTATTTAAATAATAATTTCCTGCCAGATTGTCAACATGTACCCACCCACCCCCTCTGGGATACAGATTACTCAGGCTATTTTTTTTTTTTTTTTTTTGTGGGAGCGGGAGCAGGAACAGCGCGGGAGATTTCTTAAATTCCTGAACCAGCGACACCTACACAGCCTGAGCGTGCGGTCCAGTGTGCACAGCGGTGTCCACGCGGCTGGGCATCCCGCCGCCCCGGCTCCCGGCGGCGGTGCGCGCTCAGGGCAGCGCGGGGGCCGCGGGCGGCCTGACCCCGCAGGGCGCGCCCCCCGCCGCCGCCGGACCGCGAGGCCGGGAAACTTGGCCGGACCAGCGGAGGCGGCGGGAACCGACCCGGAACCGCCGCCGCGGGGAGCCCCCCGCCCTCCGGGGAAGGCCTCGGCCCCGCGGCCCGCGGGGGGGCGTTACCTGTACAGAACATAGGTGGGTGAGTCCAGGCTCAGGAACCCGTCGTCCATAGGGGACGGCGCCGCTTCTCCGGCCTCAGCCGCCATCGCTTCTTCTTGCTGCTGCTGCTGCGGCGGCGGCGGCGGCGGCTCGGGCTGACCCGGCTCGCTGCCCTGCGTAGCCTCCCCGACCCCCTCGGTAGCCGCCATCACGCCTCGGCCCGCAGCAGAGTCGGCGGCGCAGGCCCCGCCCCTCCCGGCCCCGCCCCTCGCTCTCTTTCCCCGGCGGAACCCCGCTTCCGGTTTCCGGGCTTCCTACCATAGAGAGGCGGGCCAGAGAGGCTCCGCCTGGCGCCCTACCCCCGGCTGACCTGGGAAGAAGCTCGCCTGTGCACGGGACTTCGTCCACCTCCCGAGGGGCCCCGGATTTCCGCCACATCGCCCCATCTGTGTATCCCTCCCACGTCCTTGTCCTCGGCCTTTGGGGACGTGCTAGTGTTGTTAGGGACCCTCAGCAGCGGAGATGGCTCTCCTTTCTTGTGTTTGCAGTTCGGAGCCATGGATGAGGGCAGCTGGCCTACAGCCGGAACCCAACCCAGTCCCAACGCCTCCATCTCCAGGGAACTGGCCTCCACAGGAACCTTTGAAACGCCTTTATGTTCCTTGTACACTCCTCCCCCTAACCTCCCCCCCCCCCCTTTTTTGAATGCTAAGAGTTTATATCACAGAATTTAAGTAACTCAGGGTTTTCGTCTTTAGACATTAAAGTTCTAATGTACAAGTAATCTGTGTATAAGTTATAGGAAAGGCAAACATTTAACAGCATGACTTAATCTGTCTTGTGCTAGGGTTGCTCATGGCAGTAAATGAAGTCTCTGACATTCTGTTGACGGGTAGCAGTATAAACAACCTGATATATAGAACTGGAGGTGTTCAGGGTACACCACTTCAAAATAAACTGCTTTGGCACATTTTGAGCTGTAGGCACTAGCAAAAACAGCAAAGGCCTGGACAAGCTTACCGGATCACACACCCCCTCCCCCCTTTATCTGCCTAAAGTTTTATCTTCCAAAAGGAACTCAGTTGTCATAAATTCCCAGTCCAGGAGTTTTGACAGTTTGACCACACCCAGGTAAACTGTGACAAATTATCATGTGTCCTATCAATTCTTCTAAGGGCTCATTAATCTCTCCTAAAAGTCACTTACTCGCCCCTAAGAGGCCTACATTGCATCCCCTTTCTTATTAAGATGGTGTTTAAACTTGAATTCTAAACCTCAAGGAATTACTAATTTTCCCCTAGGTCTCTCCCAGGTACACATGAACTGTACATGTTAATAAATCTGTTTTTCTCTTGTTAACCTGTCTTTTATTACAGACTCAGACAAAAACTCAGCAGGGTAGAGGGAAACAAGTTACAGAAGCAAAAGAAGCGTCCTTGGAGCTTAGGAGACTGGAAAGCAAAGGTACAGCCTTGAGGGAAAGGAGGAAGATGAAAGTGTGCTTGAGAGAGACAGCAGCAGCTGAGGGGAGGTGGTGGAAAAGCCAGGAACATAGGAGAGCCTGGGGGCGAGGAATAGGGAGCTGGGTCCTTCATCCTAAGGGCTTTTGTTTACCAAAGGCAGGGATTTTAGGGGAGGTATCAGAAGATCCAATACAACGTTCATCAGCTTCCCAGGTAGGTCCTTTCAGGGTCATGGTCTCTACAGATGGCTTGGCACTAGTCATTGGAGCTGGCACTGATGTCAATCTTGGCACTGTTTTCACCTGGGTTGGCTGCTTTTCTGGGCCAAGAGCTGAAAGACAACTGAGGCCTAGATGTTATCTCTGGTATGATGAAACTCTGTCTCTGTGGTCAACAGACTCGAGTCTTTGTTCCTAAGATTATTTGATGTGGGTCAGAACCTCATTGTCCTGAGAGCTTCATGCTTAAGGGAGTGGCTGTTCAAGGGCTTGTATGGGAATTGGATAAGGCTATTTTTCGGCCCCCTTGTTCCTTTTCTAAGGGGGTTTACCACCATGAGTAGTCACATGCCAGTGGAGGAAAAGTACAAACCACATGACAGTGACAGCGATATGAAAGTTGGGGTGGGGGAGTGTCTAAAATACATGACTGGAGATATGCTAGGGAAAGAAAGATCACCCTGGGGGGGCAGGTTCCCCCTATACTACTTGCATTCCCTGTTTTGTCCCTTGCATCTGGGGTTTTCCATCCTGGTGACCTTCTGTACCTGGCTTATGGCGCCTACTCTGTTCATGTCTAACTGCTTCTATATCAAAATAGAAATCTTCCTTTTCTTTGAATCCAGAAAGTTAGCTGGTGGTAACTTGGTCATTTCTCCCTGGCCAAGTTACTGAGAATTGGAGTGTAAGCAGTCGGCCCCTGAACCTTGTCTATGACAATTTCGACAAAAGAGAAGTGATGCTGGGTAGTTTCCAAGGTTGGGTCCTATGTTTCACTTGGGTCTCTGAGAAGTCTTTCTGGGAATGATGGTGTGCGCGTGTGTGTGTGTGTGTGTGTGTGAAACTAGCTGCAGGTACTAAGTCCATTTACCCTGAGACTCAATTTGTGTGTGTCCAAACTAGTCATGTCAGGAGGTTGTCTGGAGTTACCGGATCTGCCCTCTGGTTCTGTCTATATCAATAAAGACATGAAATATGTGAGAATAGCCTCCAGATGACTCTAGACCAGGACATCATCTAAGCGCAAAGGAATAAGGGACCCCAGTTGAGAGCAACTGAGTGTGTCTCCAAACCTGAGAGAGAGAATAGTTATAAAGCCATTAAGTTTTGGAGTGGTTTGTGATGCAGCAATAACCAGAACAATAGCATAAATGTTCGTAAGGCAAACTAGTAGACTTCCAGCTGGGCTACTTCTCTTTAGGAACATTTCTGTGTTGTGCCCCATACATTCATCCAAATCTTTGAAGTCAGACTTTTTTTTTTTGTGATTCAGACTACCTTTTCATGTGCTTCAATATTAAATACTCAGGACACTCAAAAAATGTTAAATTTGAGTACCTCTATATATATACACACAAACACATATATACATATATATGAAAACATGTTTTTCTGACATTATAATAAGCTATGTGTACACTAGTTTTTAAAATCTTGATGCTAAATTCACTTCTGAATTTCTTAGCTGGTTATTTTAATGTAAATATATTTCCACACTACTACTTCCACTTTACATAATACAAAGATGCCATATTTCAATAATGTTTAGGGTAAGGTGGAAAAAGGGTGAGTTGTAAGGATCTACAAGGCAAGAAAAGGGGCACTTATTGCCGAAACCAGTTTGGCTCAATGGACAGAGGATTGGCCTGTGGACTGAAAGGTCCCGGGTTTGATTCCAGTAAAGGGCATGTACCTTGGTTGAAGGCATATCCCCAGTAGAGGGTGTGCAAGAGGCAGCTGATCGGTGATTCTCTCTCATCGATGTTTCTAACTCTCTATCCCTCTCACTTCCTCTCTGTAAAAAAACAATTAAAAATACATTTTTAATAAAAGGGAAAAAAAAAAGGGGCACTTATTGTCTGTCTACACAGAATGCCAACAATAATGCTTTATATTGCTAAACAAAGTAAATACTCTACCACTGGTTTTTGCTGTACCATCTGTGATAAGATTGATTACATTAACATGATAACTCTAAGAGGGGAAAAGCCATGTCTAACTTTCACCCCTAAGAACTTTGAACAGTCACTTTATAAAAATTAAATACCAGCCTAAATAAAAACAAAATCTATAATTGGTACTAGAAAAAAAAACCTCATAGTCATTTTACCCTAAATCAGTGGCATAATCTTTAAATTGACAGGACACTATATCAAGTGCCAAATGCAAGTGGATGAAAACTATTAGACAGTTATTAAATACTAATGGCTTGGTGCATGGATTCATATACATTGAAAGGAAATTAATTATATTTTAATATCACTGTTCACCCTTTCTCTATAATAAAAGTGTCAACCAAATTCACGATTGACAATGACAGATCGAAACATATGAGTGCGATTGGCACCAGCAAGAGCTTTATACATATGCTGCATGTGTAAATCAACTTAGTCCTTTATACATATAGAATAAACTTGCTTAATTAGATGTGCTTTTTTGATTTAGCTAAACTTTTTCCAGCCAGGTGAAGTATCCCAACTTCTCTTTCAGGTAATTATCAGAAACACAGCAGTAAATATCAACATGAAGCAGATTATTATTGTAGCTCACATCAGGAGAATAAAGGGTAAAATGATTAACTGCAGCAGTGTTTGACTATATTCTGTGCAGTGAGAAAACTTGAAGTCATTTTCAAGGTCAATTTCTTACTTCTTTTCAGTCAGTTCAAGTTTTTAAGCTTTCTAAATCTCTTTTCTGGCTGATGAAAAGAAAATAGGATCCCACCGAGTCTCCTATCTACCTATTCCCAGACTTCTGTGAGGATCAAATGAGATGAGGCATGAGAAAAAGCTTCACAGACATTTGGTTAAAGTGTAAAATGTTTCCACCTGACTATAAAGCAAGTCATGTTCCTGGGCTGAAGATCAAGGAGCCTAGTCGTCGCTAGGGAGAGGAAGCCAGGCATTGCCATGTGACATCATTACCTGTGTGGTTGGACATTTAGCATATCAGCCTATATAGATAGATAGATGTGTTTATCATGGTTTAAGAGCAGAAAAAAAACTCAGCTGAATTTTTATACAAGTCTTTATTTACAACTTGTTTAACAACTGTACACTTTTTGCAGCCTTGAAAACATTTTTTGTACTTGAATGGGAAAATATAGTTTGACCAAATCTTAACTTTATTCTTCATATACATATACATATATTATATGCATACATATAAACATGTACATATAATTAATACCATAACAAGTTGGCAGTCATAGAATTAAATGAATAAGTGATATCAAAAGTAAATATAGAATTCAAAAAAATTAAAAATCTGTCTTGGACTTTATATCTTAGTAATTTTAATAAAAATTTCTTACTGAGGATCTCTATCCATTCATTCACCTCAGAAAAAGTGAGAAATTCACCAAATTAACACAGTAAATAGTTGGTAAACATGTGGAAATATACTTGTATGCCAATGTTGCTAAATTTGTATTGACTCCACTTGTAAAGTGAGAAATTTAGCCCTATGTGGATTTCATTTTTGGGTTATAATGACAAAGAATAAAATTGTGAAATGATTAATAGTCAA